GTCCATAAATAATTTGTAAGTCAAATGCAAGTGTTGTTAAACATATATACTCTTTTTGGTTTGAAAATGTTTGGTTAAGTAGCTATAATTCAATAATTTGTTGTTTGTAGGTTTTAGATGTGTAGAAAGTGTTGTTGATTCAATGTTTGGTTTCTACAGGTTAATCCTGAAGTGAGCTGCGTGAAATGGAAGTATGGGTGCAAAAGTTGATTCAATAATTGATGATGAAATAATTCTTATTATTATTTTTTGATTGTTTAATTGATTTGTAAAATATGATTTGTAAATGTTGATTTGTTTAATTGATGTGTACATAATTATTATTGTGCTTGTTTAATTGATTGAAATGTAATAGTTGATTTGTTGATTTCAATATGCATTATGTTGAATGCAAAACAGATTATCACAACGCGGAAATGACTATCGTAACGAGAGAATCGCAATGCGAAATGAAAATCGCAACGAGAGAATCGCAACGAGAGAATCGCAATGCGAAAATGAAAATCGCAACGCGAAACTAAATTCGCGTTGCGATTTTCATTTTCGCATTGCGATTCTCTCGTTGCGATTTTCATTTCGCATTGCGATTCTCTCATTGCGATAGTCATTTTCGCGTTGCGATAGTCATTTCCGTGTTGCGATAGTCATATTCGCGTTGCGATAGTCAAATGAATGTCTAATAAGTGATAACAACTGAACATATCATAGCAATGTTCAAACTCAAGTTACTAATACATGCCTAACTGAAAATGTTAAAAGTTCACACATAATATACACATAATACAACGTTTGCATTTAAAAATCACCTAAGTTAACAGTCCCAAAAGGTGAAGCCGGTTGTGATTGGGATTTTGATGAGGATCCATATTTTGGTAGAGGAAAAGATGATTGTGATGGCACTGGTGATCCACATGTCAACCTTGTATGACCACTTTCCTTGCAGCGACTACATGTCGATCTCTTCTTCTCTTCACCCTTAGACGGTATACGATCGTGACTTTTTAGTCGGCCAGGTAGCCTTCTGTCCATGGCTGGTGGCAAAACTGTTTGTAAGTCATCTGGTATGTCCCACTCAGAAGGATGTGGAATAGGGTAGACAATCTCGACATAAGTATGTCGATATACTTCTTTAGTGTAGCAATCCATAGCGTATGCGCTTGAATCATCTTGGTTTAGATGAAGAGCAACTTTTATAACATGGCCACATGGATAACCAGATGTTTTCCATTTCATACAACTACACGTCTTTGCATTTAGATCGACAAGCTCATTTAAGTTATTATTTAGTACTTCAAACAAAGTGTTTGAACATGGTTCAACTCTTCATGACGTTGACTTTACAACACGTTTCGTTATCTTTTTTTCAGTCCATCATGTAACACGATGTTCCAATTTTCCTGTAAATTTAAATAAATAATACTTAGTAAAATATATGATAAGTTACGAATTTAAAGAAATAATACCTGCATGGTTTCTTTTCTTGTAGTGCCACTGTTGAATAGAGGCTCGAAAAAACTCCATTAACATAGTAATGGGTAATTTCCGGGAATGACGACTTAGAGCGTTGATCGATTCTGCACTATTAGACGTCATGAAACCATATCTTGCTCCAAGTTGATGTACTCTTGACCATCTTTCAAACCCGACATCTTCTAGTGTTTGAGCACACTGAGGCAAAACACGTCTTAAACAGTTTATATGCTTATTAAAATCCACTTCTAGATAAGCTTTTACAACCTTCCAGTATATCCATTTGTGATTTTTTATACCAGCAGACCTTGATTTTAGATTTCTATACAAATGAACACCACAAAGTCCATGAAAAGCATCTGGAAAACACCTTCTAACAGCGTTGTCAATTGCGTTTTCCCTATCGGATATGATTGTCAGATTGTTAATAGGACCTATGCAATCCCTAAGATGCCCCATAAACCATGTCCATGAATCAGAGGTTTCAGATTTGCCAACCCCGTAAGCTATTGGCAGTATCCCATTGTTAGCATCCATGGCTACTGCTAATAAGTTTACTCCAAGGTATCGACCTTTTAAATGTGCTCCGTCAACTATAATAACTGGGCGCATGCAAATAATAAACGAACGAATCTACAAAATCATATACACAAGAAATATAATCATTTAAATGTGAAATGCATGTAACTAACAAAAATGAGTCAACAAAATTATATTGATTTACTAACCGCAGCACCAATGGCGATAAACATCAACTCAAAGCGTCCATCTCTATTTGTTTTGATATGAGTTACCGACCCAGGATTTTTCAGCTTTAAATTGTGACAATAAGCCGGCAGTTGGGCAAACGATGCTTCTGGCGACCCTCTCAACAATTCCAAGACATAACATTTGGCTCTCCATGCTTGAGAATATGAGATACTAATCTTGAACCGAGCATTCATGTCAGTCATAATTTCATCTCCCCGATATACCCTGCCATTCAAAAACATTAACTCAGCCAGAAAACCACCCAACACCTTTTTGTTTGCCTGTCTATGGTGAGGAAAAACTTGGGTTCTTGAACATGTATGTTTATCAATAAAAGTCCTAACTTGAAACATTTCGCAATCTTTTATTCTCTTTGCAATCATACGCCACGTACAGTTTTTGTCAATCATACACCTTGTTTCGAAACGGTCTTTGCTTTATTTGTTAACTTTTAGTTGATAGCCAACTTCCACACATTTCGTATACAAAGCTATCTTCAAGTCTTCCTTTGTATCAAAACAATCATATTTCTTGATACGAATAATTTTTGTGTAACAATCAACTACTATCTTTACCAACTCTTCTTCCGGTATCTGAAGTAATTTTGGCATATTCCAGTTATACTCCCGTGGCATTTTCTTCGGGGACTTTTCTTTGGGGATTTCTTCTTCTTCTTTTTCTTCTTCAGTGTTATATGAATTACAGAATGGATGTTCAACATGTTCATTTACAGTCGTAACTTCCTTCTCATTATCATCAACAACATCTTCCTCGGCAACAACTGTTTCATCATCAAAATTCGGGTATTGACCAATATCAAAATCATTACATGCAGGGTATGTTTCTTCTTCTGAAAAATCATCAAAATCTGAGTATTGACCAAGATCAAAGTCCGGGTATTGACCAAGATCAAATTTCGAATACTGACTAGTACTCACAATTTTTTCTGTTGGCTCATCATCGTCTAACTGGTCAATACGAAAACTGGAATTTGGTGCTGAAAATTGATTGGGATTTGGATTAGGGAAAGGTTGTGGGTTTTGATATTGTGTTTGGTATTGGAAATGTGGTGAAACAATATTTGCTTGGTGATGAAATTATGGTGGAACCATTAAATTTTGAGCACCATAAACTGGGGTTGAAAAACTTAGTTGATTACTACCCGCTACTGACCCAACTTCACTACTTCTAGGTTCAACAACATACAATGTAACATCATCACTTGAAACACTAATGTAAGCAATGAATCGTTCAACATCTTCGTTGTCGGTTAACAAATAAACTTTACCATTTCTCTGATAAGATAGCCTAAATCCACTTAGGGGCTCTAAATTCAATTTATTTGCAACACGTAACATTAGAGTTTCATAAGTTAACTTTTTTAATGACAGTTTTAGTTGAAGATTCATGGGTAAAGGCATATATTGTAAAACACCATGAACATTCTCCCATGACCCTCCAAAACACAAATCTATCCAAACATGATCAACATTAGATGATTTCATTATTGTAAATTAATTTACTAAACAAACGAGCTGCGAAACTAAAACATGTTGCCGGATGGGGAAGGATGTCTTTGGATATAGGAACGGATGTCGCCGAAGAGAGTGATAGATGGAGATGGAATGAGTTGCGATTTAGGGATTTAGGTTATGAGTTGTTGCTGCTGCGTAGTTATATACCCAAAACATTTGTGTTGCGAAACTAAAACCTGTTGCGAATTCAGAAATCGAGTTGCGAATTTGAAATTCAGTATTGCGATAGTCAGAATCGCATTACGATAGTCAAAATCGCGTTGCGATAGTCAGAATCGCGTTGCGATAGTCAGAATCGCGTTGCGATAGTCAGAATCGCGTTGCGATAGTCAGAATCTCGTTGCGATAGTCAGAATCGCGTTACGATAGTCAGATTTGCGTTGCGATTTACGTATTCGCATTGCGAATTAGGAAAATCGCAACGCGAATATGTAAATCGCAATGCGATAGTCGAAGTTAGCGTTGCGAATTTGGAAACTAATTTGCGATATCGGAGATCGCGTTGCAAATTATCGATCGCATTGCGATTTAGTTGGTCATTTTGGCAAATCCAAAAAAAATTGGTTAAAATCGTATATTATAAGGTATTTTTTGTCACTGAGGTTATTTTCTATTTTCTTTTTTTATGCATGCTGTCTACAGTTGTCTATGATAGATTGTAAATTATCCTTAATTCTCTTCTAGGGTTATTTCTTTCTTCATTGCAAGTATTGGATTATGTTATGACATGTTAGATTTTATTGTTTGGCACAAATTCATTCGATCTAAATAAAATTATAATTTAAGTTCCTATAGTTTAATTAAATTATAATTTTTGTGTTAATTAAATAAAATTAAATTTTTTAAAATTGAAAAATACACAACTTATGCTTAGCATTAGGAATTCGACTTTTTTTCCGTATAATACAAAAAGACAAAAAGGAAAGTGAAGGTAATACTAATATAACACTATTGTTCTCAATGATTCGTTTAGTTCTAAAGAAAAATTGAATTTACACCATTAACTCAAACAATAAATCATGACCTATAAAATACAACTGTTGTAGTTTTTTTAAAATCATTAATATATGATATATTAACCGTTTAATTTAGATAAAATTTTATATAGACATTATAGAAACCGAATCTCCCAATTACTATAGTAAATTACACACAAAAAATAAAACATAAAGCCAAGCAAACCCCAACAAAAGAAAACAAAGGAGCCCCTTGCCCCCCGAAAGATGTTAAAGAAAAACTATAAAAAAGAAAACCGGAAAGACCAAAAATACCCTTTTTGGGCAGAAGACCAACCTATTTCTGTATTGCACATTATCACACAAAAATGGTGATAATGGCTTCTTGAAGAAACACCCCATGTCTTTGGAACATGGAGAAAAGAATAAATAGTATGTAGTTTATATGCACAAATGATGATCATTCTGAACGTGGAAGTAAGAAACCGAGCCCGGAATTTTCGCGGATCAATGATGGAGGCTCGACATCAGCTATGTCGACTTGCTGCAGGGACTTGGAGATGTCATCCACCGTAAACGGAATGCTGCGGTGACATGAATTGTACATTGCATAAATCATAAAGCGTGTATGGGGTTTTAGTACTTGTCTTCACGAAGCTAAAAAGCGGTACTAACTAACCTCGAGTCATCGTCTAATAGGAAAGAACTACTAACGGCATTGTTCGAGTCTTCAGTCATCATGACTCTCATTTTCGCAATGACCTGTTCAACGAAGAGTTTTTCGATTAATTTTGCAGGTTGAGTATTTCACCGGCAGTGTTACATTAACGTTACGGATTTTGGTTGTTTGAACTTACATCTGATGACACACTATGTGTTCCATATTTATCATCCCAGTACATTGTGCTGATTCGGTACAACTGTTGTATGCTTAGTACCTGAAGAAACGGCATCGTGAGAAAGAAAGTTGAAGGTTTAATGAATGCAAAATGTTAAGGGGTGTGAAATCTGAAAGAGAAAGGGATGTGTACCGGACAAAGCTCTTTAGTGATTTCATCCAAGGTCTTTTTTGGTTTCTGATGAATAACCTGAGTTGTAGAGAAACGGTTCAGGCAGTGAGTCATACGAGATAGTTATTAGAAACCATTATCGAACAAGATGCTATGAAGTTGATCTAACCAGGAATCCTATGGCCTGTCTTATGTGCTTGAGTTCATGCCATGCCGAACCTGCATACTGTTCACAAGAAGAATTCTGGTTAAGGAACCGGAAAAAAGAAATGGAATGGTATAACAGCCATATATGATTGCCGAGAGTTTACCTCCTCGGTTGCCTCGTTGCACCATTGCTCTAATTCAGCCAAACCAGCTTTCACATATTCCCCATTACTGAATGAGCAACACTCGCGTCGCAGAAGAAGACTGCACAAATGTGTAAAAGAACATCACACGAATTAATCATAACCTTCTCGTATAACAGATTCAAGAAGAGACACGCTGACATATACCTGTTGAATAGCTGAACATTGATGAATGAGAATATCTGAGTGAACACTTTATGGGCTAAGAAAGGTGGTACCTGTCGAACCAGAAAAGTGAGACTCGTAAAATCAGTAAGAGTCTGTTACAAAAAAAAAAAAAAAAATCAAGCAAAGTTTCATATCTTACATGGTTTGCTTTCATTATATTCAAATAACGGTTCAAGCTTTTCACAATGCTTTGCCAATGAGCAATTAAAGCTTTCTGAACAACGGCATTTGCTTGAGTACGTCCCTTCACCATACTTGCCCGTGATGTCCTAGGAGCCTGTATTGTACCGGAAATAACCAATTTCAGAAAGTAGTAGCAGTAAGATACCGAGCTTCATAACCCAGTCAACGACACATACACAACTCAAGATGAACTGGAAGAGGAACCGGAAAATTAGAAATAACCTGAATACACATTCCAATCAGTGGAGAGATCTCTTTCTTTAGATTGTCTCTTATCATTCCATATATCTTCTCCAGGAAGGCAGTCAGTTGTTGCTTAAACAGTAATGCAGGGTACTTGGCCTCAACTTGCCGTAAGTCGTCGAGCCTACTAATTCCGCGACCATTAAGAAATGAAAGCCCGGGACTTTGGGGAGATCCACGTAGTCCCTAAAAAGTAGGAAAAGAAAATTGATTAAATAGATGGAAAGAGTAAGATAAAGTTTTCGGTTAGATAAAATCATTGCTTCTTACTTGAGACATCCTCCCAAAGAGCGAAGCTGATGATGCTCTTCGCCTTTGTGGCGTCAAACTTGCAGCTCCATTTGCTTTAAGTGTGCGTTGGAGCAGCATCAATAACGTTGATGAGTTGGATAACCAATACGCTAGGACATCGTTATTGTCCTGGACCTTCAGTAAGGTAGACATGGCTTATTAATAATATACATTTTATCCACAAAACTGTGAACGTGAAAAGACAATACGCTGACAGTTGCACTCAGTGCATTGGCTTTCGAGAGCAGATGATAATGACGCAGAAAACTTTAAAAGCCAAACTATAGCTTACCTCTATGGAAGAAGCTATTGTTTGAATGATGCGGTCAAAGACAGTCGTTTTTTCAACTTCAAATGACCTCCAGTGAAGAAGACATTTGTAAATAACACAAGCAGCAATCGGTTTGCTCCCGGAGAATCCCAAATTTTGTGATATACACTTGATAAGAAGGTCCTGGTTCTCCTGAAACACAAAAGGAATATTATGAGCAATAAATCAGGACTGGTACATCTATATAAATAGAAATTTACTGCTCAAAATTATCAGATAAGATATGAGAATGAGTTTAATAGAAGTGTCATGCATTTCATTGACCACTGACCTGCTGTTTTTCGTTGAGGTTTTTCTGAGGTTTTTCCTCAGATTCAGGCTCATGTACATTCGATATGGCACGAGTCATGTCCTGAGAAGATACTAAGCTGTAAGCAATATAATATAACTGATAGAACATCTTATATCCTATAAATTTTTAGTTTCCATTATCACAAATAATGATATTCCCTACCGATAGAACCTTTGATTCTCCATTTATAACATTTCCATTCTCGGGTGTCCTCTGCAAATTAATTAACAAATAATCAGGTTATATTTCTCTATGCTTGTACTATACTTACGATATGAGGATGTGAAATGAACTAATATTATCTAATTTTTACCGGAACAATCATTGTTCTTTGTCTTGTGGTCAAGGATTTCCCAGTTGGTGATATTGCCAGTGACTGCTGGCGAAGTACTTGAATCTCTGATTGTGAATTGGAAAGCTTCTCTTCCAACCTGAAACATAGAATAGGATAGGAAAAGGGATAATTAATTTCGTCACTTATCATCTCTGAGATGATCGGTTTCCTTTTCAACCTCTTTTATTTTCTGTTCAACATTTTGATGCAAAGTACTGTTAGTTTGCATTCAAACAAGTTTCTTTTCAACACAGACCTCTGCACAGATTCCTGAAGTTGATCCACTTTCCGTTCTGAGTCTTCAAGTTTCTTTACCAGCTCTGCATTTCTGGCCTTGGCGTCTGTACAAGCATTATGAGCCTCCTCTGTGGCTTTTCTTTCTGATAGCAGTGAAGCCTGCAGAGACAAACGAACATCATCCCTTTTTTTATCATCAAAGTTTCTAAAGATATATATTTATACGACATTTAAGCTAATTGCTCATCAATATATTGCAAGTGAAGGAGGATACACATTATGCATCAAATGATGATACACAAGGCAAATGCATGATTTTACTAATTTCAGATAACGACAGTAAGTAATTACTGATCTGTTGACACCCTTGATTCAACTTCATAGATTCATTAACATTATCTGCTTCATTTATTCATATCTTGATTGTCAATTTCATCTGATTTTCAGTTTTGATAACCTTCAGAAGCTGTATCCATTATATGCTTAAATAGGAAACAAAATTGCTTTGCATATTTACAAATTAAATTTCTTATAGATCATCGAAGCAAGAAAACAGACAGTGAAGAGCCGACCACAATCATGCAGGTTAGAATTCTTACCTTCAAACTTTCTACCTCAGCAGTTAAGGAATCGATCTTTTCAGTGTCCTGAACTATAACAGGAGTCTCCTTGACGATCGAAGGAGCTTCCTCAATAGCTTTTCGAGCAGCTTCTTGCTCTTTCTTGACTCGCTCATTTGCTTCTTCCACTTGTAATTTCATTTCATGCAAGGCATCCTGTAACTTGGCAATTTCTTGTGCCTTCTCCTCTTCTAAATCAGTCTGTTACAAGATTATAAAGTAAAGGTTTAACTGGTTAAAAACAGATAATTATTACGTTTTCAGGAGATTGCAACAATTGTAAATGATAATATATTTTAGAACATTAAATGGCATAAACTACCCTCAAGTGTTTCTCAAGTGACAAACGCCATGTAAGTTCTTCCACACGCTTTTCAAGTTTGTCTTTTGCTTCTTTTAGAGCCCCTGTTTCCCGGGCAGCCTAAACAAATTAAGAGTAATGATTATAACGTATGCAAACTGTATTAAAGCTTTTGTGAGCAACGTTGTCCAAAAGAATATGATCAAACCATCTTAAGCTTTCTGAGCTCTCTCCTCGCAACCCGTTTCCTCCAACCACATTGAGTAGTTAGTGCAGCCTTCTGGAGATTCTTATAATAAGAGTATGCAGCATGGAAACGGAAAGTAGCCTGAATGTTGAAAATAGTATTCAGTCAATATCCGATTTTCTGAATCGAGTTTGATACCTACACTTCTGCAGCAATGGTGTGTGCAACTGTCTTTCCAACATCACATTAATTTTACAGAGACAAGAACATGTACAACTAGTTGTAGTAATACCTGAACAATGATTGCAGCCTTGGTTTGCTTTCTGAATCGGAACTCATTTCGAGCGGTCATTGCCCTTAAGCCAGTTTGCAATGTGATTGCAGACAACCTTACATTTAGATAGGACTCCCTAGCAATGTGCCGCCTAAAGATCTTTTGGATCTTCACAGCAGCTGCTTCCCTTCTCAACTGCTTATAGAGTTTGCAGGCTAATATGCCTAATTACAGTAAAAAGGAAAACAGACAGGTCATAAATAGGATATACATTTCATTGTGCTCTGGGCCCCAAAAGTGCATCCCAGAGCCATTATTACATTTAAAAAAAAATACTTCCATGTTTCTATTTCCGAAGTTCATCAGCTTCATACATTCAGAAAGGGGGGAAAACTTTTAATAACACCAAAATGATACCTCGCCAATGAGATTGCAACATGATTGCAGCTTTACGTAGGGAAATGAACTCCTTCCGTGCAATATATGTCCGGATTTGCCTTTGAATGGTTCTGGCTGCATGTCCAAGAACTTCTGCTCTTCTAGAATCTAACTCAGCCATCTGACCGGCTCGAAGGAAAACTTTGGTCTTACCTATCTGCCATGCAAATTGTGTTAAACAGAGTGTAATACAAAAATAACACACTCACTCACTCAATGCTGACTGATCGTTTCTTTTGGATTATCACACAACAACCTTTAGTCATTGAGTTTAGAAAATGTTCAAGAAATTAGGTAACCCTTCGGCTATTCTCCATTGGCTTAGGTTTTATCAGACAGGAAAATAAAATTACATTTCTATGATAGACAGGATCTCCTCTTAATCCTCTCATCTCACTGTATTTCCTAAATGCCAAGACCAAAATTAAAAGCTCTAAGGATATGCGTTTCAGTTACCTGATAACCTTTCAACCCCATCTTATCCAGGATCATTTGACAGGCAACCTTGTCATCATGACTACACATACAAACACACACAAAATAAATTTTAAAATCATATTCAACTGTAAGGATATTAGCCTGCAAACACACAGAGAAGGGATATAACTTGAACATGCACTTTATTGTGTATACAATGCAATGGTATAAATTTTGACTAGAAAAGTTTAAAAGTGCATGTTCAAGTTATTGACCAACCATGAGAAAGGATTTTACTCAGAGCATCTATCACATAACCTAAAATTAGTAAGAAATATGATGCAAATTTTTAATTTATATATTATCAAGGTAAGCATCCACGAAATGAATATGTCCATCCCTGTCACAAAACTTAATACAAATTTACAGCTACAAAATAATAGGATTTGCAACTCACTTTCCCTCCAAAATTTCTGGAGCAAGAAGGCCAAAACGGTTAAGAAACTCATTAAACGTTCTTCTAGTTGGATATCCAGCACAGCTGATCCTAATTGCCTCGAGAACACCCTGTAAGGAAGAAAATGGCAAATAATTTCAACCGCCATGGCCATCAAAAGTACCAGTTTTGATAGTTTGGAGCAGAAGAAATAGAGATCATTGTCCTGATAAATTATACTCACACCACATCGTAATTGCTGAATTATATTTGCATTCTCAAAAATTGCAGGCTTGAGAACATTGTTTGGCTTCACACATCTGATATAGTGAGGTTCTGTTGAGTTCAATGTCTCCATTAAAGATTGAAGTTGCAGCTGCAATATTTAAAACATTTTTCACTTATCATAGAGGAAATTATATAAAACTCCAAGTTAAAACATCAGCTGTTGCAATTGTATATGAAAGAGTGGAACTATCAACTTGTCATCTGTCTCTAGCATTTATTCGTGTTGAGAGCATCAGTTTATTACCAAATTTAGTGTAGAACAGTTCAACACTTATAAGAATGATAGAATTTATGGTTTTTATAAGCACTGTAATGTGTATGAGCTGCTTTAGTTTTATTTTCTGTATGCTTAACTCAAGAAGGCTACTACTCAATCCTAAATCAAGGATTGGTCTGGTCTGACTAGGAACAAGTACACTACTATGATGTCGAAAGGCAAAATAGGGTCAGGTTTGAATTAGAGATCAAAGAGGCTTTTAACATCTTTATTTACATAGGTCTGAAGCATTCAGAAACCTTCAATTTTCCAATGTACTTTAGTTTCCATTTTGTAACACATGGAAACCTGATGAAACAACATTACCCAAACTCTTCATTTTTCCCAAAGTACTCAAGTTTGACACTCAACACATATTTGAACAAGGGTATTGCTCTTCATATGTGGAAAATTTTAGAAAAATTAAGTATACCACATCTGACACTTATCTCGATAAATAGAGTTGATAACTGGATCAGTAATACCTTAAAGCGTGATCCAATGGATGAAAATTTGGATGATTTTGAAGACTCCTCAGCTGGAGGAGGAAACAAACAAGCCACAAAGGAGCACTTTGAGGCAGTCAAAAGATCCTGATGTTCAGCCACTACATAATCTTTGTTCTTGTCAAGGAACAAATCAGCAAGATAAGTTACCTGGGAGAGGAAAACATAACATACAGTTTAGCTATCCTCATAGTCATCGAAATTTTATAGATATACAAATGCAAAACATTTTACCTCTCCAGCATAGTGAGAAATAGTAAAACTAGTACGAGATAGCTTTGGTTTGATGAAACGCTTGTTGTTTTTGAATATCTGGAACAACTTCTGAGCAAATGTTTCATGTGTAGACTTGGGAAACATACTGCATAAAGCAGTCGAGTAAACATGAAATCAGCCAAAAGCAAAATACAGTAAGGAACATGACAGACAATGCAGGTATAAATGTGTTATGCATCATATACAAATGCAAAGAAGCAGTAATGACTTTAGTTTACTAAAACTTCAACATCTCAAATAGAGCACAATACTAGCTGAATACCAAGCTTCATCGAGAAGTGCAATAATTCCTCCAGGTTTCTGCAGAAAGATAGAGCAAGTAATATTAATTATGCAACAAGATGTGTGAGATGATAGTGAAGAATACTAAAACTTGTAAAGAAAAAAAATTGGGAAGATTAGCTCATATAACTTAACAAGAGACAAGCAAGCAACAATCTTGAACCTTTTCTATCAAATCCAACACATCCTGGTTATCAACAAATTCTATGTAGCTCCAATTGATTTCTTCTTTTGTGTATTCCTCCTGTTCCATTTTAAAAACATGCTACAAAGACAATAACCATATTTTCAGAATAAGCTTGGAAAGGTAGCATCTAACGTAGGGAAAAGAACAGTATAGAATTTACCAAACCTGATTGAAATGTTGCTGCAGTTTTTCATTTGTAAAATTGATGCAAAACTGCTCAAAACTATTGATAAAAGAAAACATGCAAAACCTTGTTAGTTACAATAGTAAATATTCAATTTAATTGTATGTAAAGGAAAATGTCTTAACCTATTGAACTTAAAGCTCTCGAACCCATAAATATCAAGAACTCCAATCAATTGCTTTGAGTTTGGATCTTGTCCAATTGAAGAGTTGATTTTATCAACAAGCCTGATGAAATAAAGAAAACTCTTTCAGAAGTTCATGCACTCTGGTTGCAGAAAAAAGCCAGTGATAAAGTTTCTTTACCAATCGAACAAGCGAGAATAGATGGTTTTAGCTAATGCATCCCTGCTACCCACTGCAGCGACAGGATCTAGAGATTTTTTAATAATTTCTTCAGGGGTAACCATTACACGCTTTATCATTGCATCTTCCAAGCTCTTGACATCACACCTATTATATATACATAAATGTAGTTTATGAGACGTGGATTAAAAAAAAACTATACATGCAAGGTAATAAAGGAAGAAACATATTCAAGAAATGCCTCATACTTGAGCAGCTCAGCTGTCGTATTAAGATGGAACCTAGATTTCTCATCCTTGATAACAGAAGAGTCAGCCTCAGCTCCCTTAGCAAACTCAACATTCCCAAGATGTAAAATGGCAGCCACAACACGAAAAATTGCCTCCTGAAAGGATCATTCATCATGAAACTATGAATGCAACAAGTGTACTATTTTCTGAAACTAGCTGGAGAACTGACTGACCTGCTCGTCCTCGCTGATTCCAACGACATCCATGGCCCTTATAGTTTCAATGTACTCCTGAGCATCATCTATCCCATCCAATGCATAGCAGTCCGATTGATTAAGGTAATGGAAAGATCTAGGGTCGTCCAGCTTAAAATTTTCTTTAACCTGAAATTGTCAGAGAACATTATCAGTCATTGCCTATTATTATCAGCATGGATAAGTCTAAAAGCAAGATCTTAGTACCTCAGGTGGTGCTGCACAAAGAAGGTAAAAGCAGTGGTAATTTCTTTCGGGACTTGAAATTTGGCAAACTCGAGAACGTTCCAGCAAATATGTACGAACAGCCGCCCCAGATATCCTCCCATTCTTGTCAAACTGAAGCTCAACAAATTTACCAAAACGACTGCATAACACCAAGAGGCAGGAGAACTCATAAACTAATTCGAATAAATGATAAATCAAACAGTAGACTGGAGAACAATTTTTTGTATTAAAATAGCCCAGCCAGCACCAATGGCTGAAACATAAACTGGCCTTTGATATTACAAATGAGGAGAAGAGTAAGCTATCATGTTTGAAGAAGGTTGTGATTTTTCAGATCCCAAAGCAAACGTGCATTCACCTTGAGTTGTTATTCCTAACAGTTTTTGCATTTCCAAAAGCTTCAAGAACAGGATTTGACTGCAGAAATTAAACATCCAGAAGTACCAAGTCAATTAAATGTTATCATTTTTGTCAATTAATTGGAGGCCATGAGGTTGTTGGCTTTAAGATTCATCTTACTTCTAGAACTTGTTGTTCAACTGTCCGCCCTTCAACTCCAGATCGACCACCAAGGTATGCAAGGTAACGCATGAGCATCTTTGTAGTCTCAGTCTTACCAGCACCACTTTCTCCACTAACTAGAATTGAGTTGCTTTTTCCCTCATTAATCATTGCCCTGTTTGAATGATAAATCAGAGACAATTTTCATTGGAAACTCGGATGTTCGGTAGATCAGAGGGCATTTACCTATATGCAACGTCGGCAACAGCAAAAACATGAGGACTCAGCTCTCCAAATCCAGCCCCTTTATATTGTTCCATCATGTGAGTATCATACAGGTGTGGTAACCTTTGGAATGGATTTATAGCAATCAGGATATTTCCAGTGTATGTCTGAGGAAAATAGGAAAGAACAGAACTTCAGCATGAAAGGCTAAGATGGCTTCAAAATTAAATCACATATTTTCCTCAAAATCTAATTTAACATGCGAACAGAGAAAGAACGGAAAATATCTTACATAGATTTCATTAAGTTCATATCTCATAGCCAAGTTATGCAGAACTCCAGGTTCATGCAAATATGAGAGCTTTGTCATGTCATCGACACCTCCGGGAGGTGCTTCAGTATCTTTTGGATAAACCTTTGAGATATTTACCACAGCCTGCAATCAGTTCATTTGTCAGTAAGAATATTAAGAATAGAATCTATTCCCTCTATTCCCCCACCACCCCCTCAAAAAAAAGGATAAGTAAAATCAGCAGAGAGTCTAGTAGATGTAAACATCAAAGTTCAACTAAATGAACTCTGGATGTACGCTTCAAACTAAAAACTAGCATATTGCACTGACCGACTGCTAAGCTACAAACAGCTTGATGTGGCCTTGTCTGCCTATGTAACTCATAAGCAGCTCATTTTCCAGATATACATACAGACAAAAGGAAAAAATATAACTCACAGTTTTTCCATTTGTTGTGTTGACATGAACTTCTTCGCCACTGATTTTAAAAACTTCTCCATCAATCCATGCGAGTGTTGGATCTTCGACCCATACATGAGAGCCTACAATAATGTTAACCGGAGCAGCCTGCGAAAATATGAAAGTATTAGCTATGTAATGAAAGAGACAAAGTAACAAAAATTCGTCAAGAACAAATTCTGCATGTCATATATGTTCAGTATACAAAAGAAATGATAAATTGACCTAAAATGCCATTCACCAAACTCACTGGTATAGTAACATGGCCTTACCATGACATCCTTAACCTCCATTTCAACTGCGAACATTAGTCTAATTATGGCACTAATAATAACTACCACCAACTTTTTACCATCCAAAACCAGAGACTAAAAGTCACTCATTGTCAATGATACAGACTTCGCATGAAAGAACAAAACAACTAACAATTTTATCAGCATTTGGCATCAAACGATAGCTATTTTAGTAACATTTCAATCCTGAGATTCCAGAACAAATATAATATGATTTACATTTTGACTGAAATTTTTTATCCTAGCTCTATATTATACAGTTCATGCACATCAAGAAGCTTCAAATCTGGACTGCATTTCCATTTTCCAATCAAGTAATATAAATGTTCAAATTTCCGGATCTTAGAAACTTCTATATTTGAATCTCTTTAATCCGTAATTCAGATGGCATCTATCATTTACAAAATAACATGAAAAGCAAAAAAAAAAAAAAGCCACAGCATGGAACAAATCAAAGATTTTTCCTATCTAATATTAAGATTGCTAAATATATAACAAAATAAAAATGAAACTAATAAGCATCTAAAAAAGGTAAAGTAGGAACAAAATAACAAGCTGGCAGCCAGGCAGGTTCAACCGATTCAACTCGGTCAAAAAAGAAATAAAACGAAGCAATCCACTACCATGGAGATTATACACAGCGATCTTCCTTCTATCTACTCATCCGACACACGACCGAGTCGAGGAAAAACTGACTCGGCGAGTCAGATCGGATAAAAAAATTGAACTGATAATAGCTCAAGAGCTTTAACCAAAGAAATCTTTCTCGAAAGCCAAACACACAGAAAGATGGCGGTTGAATTCACCAGCAAACAATTAACAGTAATAAGCAAAGCTCTTTTTCTCACGATTTTTGCTCTCTTTTTTCAACTTTTTTTTTAAATCAAAATGCAAAGAAATGAGGCAAATGAAAATGGCGAGGAGGCTTATATACAAAGCAAAAAGTTCATAAGTTTTTTTAAAATATATATATATTATTATTTAAATGTTTTTTAAAAATTTTGTTTTAATTTTGAGTGAAGTACACTAGAGATCCCTAGTTGATCCCTAAACTATGATCATGATCATTTTAGTCACTCAAATTTCAAAAAAAATTAAAATAATCATTAAATTTATCGAATAATTATAAAATGATCATTAAATTTATTATATTATCTATCCGATCCAAATTAGACGATCAGTAAATTGAAATATTGATGATTATATCAAAACATTTATCAAACTATTACCATATATTCATTAATTTTTTGAGTTATTATAAAATAATCATAAAAAATATTAAATTATTATAAAATAATCATTAAATTTAATTATTTTTATTATTATTATAATATCACAATAGTTATTTTTATTTAATAATTTAGGGACTTTTGGCGTATTTAACCCTTAATTTCCCTTGAGCAATGGCAACTGGAGTGGGATCCAACAGCGTGGGGTGGCGAAGATGGTCTTAGTTGGACATTCGTGGTCACCACAAATAGTGGTATTTTGGGGCTCCGAGACCGATATTATTTTATTATTATTATTATTAACTAATATTACCGACTTTTTCCATAAAATTATGTTTAAAGTCATTTCCAAAAATAAATTAAAGTGCTTTTATTATGCAAACATCATGATCATGTTTATCTTTGAAGTAAACTAACATTTAATCCCTGAACTTAGAATTCTTTTTATCCAACTTAGTCCATGAACTTTTCTTTATCCACATTAGTCACGGATTTTTTTTAAATATTCAATCTTTTGATGATGTAAAATTTTAAGATCATAACATTTATTATTATCTTAAAGTGTCACGTCATTAAAATCATCAAAAGTTCAAGTTCTTGGGTTGATATGGATTAAAAAAGGGTAAGAATCAAATTAAAAAAAATTATTAAGTCTAAGGACAAAAAAATATTTATTCTTTTACTTTTTATATTTGTTTCATGTGATAAAACTCTAATGCTTCGTGTGATAATAATATATCGGAAAATAAATATTATTAAGACTTAAGTCAAAATCGATCAAATGACTTAATTTATTTAATTTATCAGTTAAATAACTTATTTGATTTAATTTTTTTGATTTGAGAGTTTAATTGGATGTTAAAAAACAATTATATACTTAGTTGATTTTTTTAAAAGTTTGAGTGCTTTATGCATCATTTAACCAATTCATTTTTTATTTATAAATAGAGTAAGAGCATGTTTGTAATTTCAGGTATACACATATAGTAAGAAATAAATAAAAAATACTTTTCCGCCCAAAAAGGAAAAGACGGCTTTCAGACATGACACTACGAAATCCTCCGACCATTTGCTGGCGCTCTAAATATTTTAGCTATACACACGATAGAGAGAAGATTTTCTTGTGCTTTGCATTCACAATATATTACGATACGCGTGGATTATCAAAGCCGACATTGGCCGCCCAATCTAAACGTGGAACGATGTGATAGCTTCTGTGGGTCCCAACTGATGGTGGCGAAAGCCAGTTATAATTTGACACGTAATGCGAGATATGTAGATTGAGTCAGAGCTGATTCTAAACGGTTGAAAGAATATTTGACAGAGGTTTGGCACATCCACACATGTCGGGGACAAGGCAGTAATAAGTAATAAATATTTGGGTAAAATATATCAGAGGTCACCAAATTATGCTCAAATAATAGTTTTAGCCTTTTAGGTGATGGAACTTTCAAAAATTACAGAATAACATGAAAATTTTCAATTTGTTACTCAATAGTCAATTCAATAATAGTTGCATAAATTTAAATTTTTTGAACGTAGCACGTTGATAACCAAAATGCCACGTTGACAAGTCTTACACTGAATGAGTAGGAAGATTTAAATTTTTACATTTTGAGAATAGGGATTAAATTTCTAACATAACGATAATACAAGGACCTGAGGCATAATTATACCTTTTAAGAAGAAGGCCTTTCCCTTGTATACACCGACTCCTCGGGCTTCTTCATGGATCACCTAGGCTTACAAACCAATTGAACCTATTGCATTTTCATAAACCAAAATTCCATATATTAAGTAGGTATAATGTCAAAATTAACCCCTAGTGTTTATCAAAATGATCATTTTCCCCTACTTTATTTTTTTGGAGTATTTTAGCCCCTAACGTTCCCCTAATATTTTAACCCTCAACGTTTCATTTTAGGTTAAAAAAGCTCATATTTTGGAGCGTTAATCATGTATTAATTAATGATTTTCATCTATAGAATGAGTTTTTTACCTCAAAGTAAAACGTTGGAGGCCAAAATTCTAAAAAAAAAAGAATAGAGGCCAAAATGACTATTCTGGTAAACGTTGGGGGGCTATTTTTGGTATTATACCTATTAAGTATGCTGAAAGGGTCTGAAACCTTTCTCCATCATGCAATGGTGCGAAAATCATATCTCGATTTTACGACAAGCAAGAAAGATAAACAGAACAAACGTAAAATCGAGAGAGATAAACAGAACAAAATCTAAAGCCTAGTTCCATAGTCAATGGATCAGTTATAGCTAAAAGTGTAATATCATCTTGTAATGCAAACAAATCCTAACTGGTTTCAATTTCAACTAGCAGAGAACACTCAGGAATAATGATATAGTGATATACTCTTGTCATCGGAGACACTAGCGAGACGATCTCCTCGTCCACCGGGTCGAAATGCCACCACCCATACCTGGTCCGTGTGATTGCTCATTACATGTAGAGTTGCTCTCATCTTAAAATCCCATAGTCTTACTGTTTTGTTACTCGAGCCAGTTGCAATAACCTCTTCGTCGGGACTTACATCCACGCTTAACACCCAGCCGGAATGACCAGACATGGCCCCGATTATTGTCTTCCCTTCAACATCATAGATATGCACGTGACCGTCATCCGAGACCGAGTATAGCTTTGCGTGAATCAAGTTCAGGAGAGAACACAAGAGACCTTATTGGCATGTTATGTCCTTCGAGATGATGTAGAAATTTGGCATGGGCTACATCGAAAATGGAAATTGTGCCGTTCATTGAGCCACAGGCAAGTCTTCTTCCATCTGGACTCCATGCAACAGATAGGACAAACTTCTTTCCGCTGCTCTTATCAGAGGGCTTGGTTCCTTCAGGACGTGCAATCGATAAAGTTGCAACCAACCTCCAGGTTGAGGTATCCCACAACTTGATCGATGCACTACCTCCACCAGCAACCGCGTCTTACCCTAATTTTGAAGCTACCGTTAGAACGTTCATCAAAACAAATTCAAGAAAACATTAATAATAAGTTATAATCACATATATATATCATAAGATGTAGCCTTGATATTATAATTATGATTGCAACCTGAAAGATATTAGTAAATTAGCAATAGAATCCCAGACAATTCTTTAATGGAGACTGAAAGCAAAGGAAGCATCTTCAGAGACTTGTTAGCATAAGCAATGCTATCAAGGGCGCTAGACGCACTCGAGGCACTAGAACCCGGGTCCGGTGCACCCAAGTCCGAGTAACAAAAATAACACTAATTGAGGCATTGGAGAACTATATCATTAATCCATTGTTAATTTGAATTTCTTTCATTTAGATGAACAGATTGACATTAGTACCATTTATCAGTGGCTTTTCAAAATCTAAAAATTCAAACAGTTCATGAATAAATCGGTTTCCCGCAGCTATAACAAATTCTCATAAATTTCTTCCCGAGAAGAGTAGAGCAAAATGTATTATTAACTTGGGATCGAATCTCAGTTGCCAGACCTCGGACGGAGGAGCTTCGAGATTGGCGATTGTAGCGTATCAACGTCAAACACGCGAACGAAGCTGTCGAGCGCGGCGGAGGCGTCGATCACACAGGAAGGATGCGCGGCCATCGAGACGACGCCGAGGCAGTGGCCAGTGTTGGTGCGGACGAGGTCAAGCTCATCGGGGCTCCATAGCTTAACGGTATGGTCGAGAGACCCGGTTAACAGGAGACCCGCCAGTTTCATTGATTTTGCCATCTTTGTAGTAATTAAGAACCCTATCTGATTGATTTTACAAATGAAAGTTTAACCAGGGGATAAATCTGGGTTTTGTCGGGGTCCAAAAAGGGGATGAATCGAAGTCTTATTCAAATATTGATTTGAAGACAAATTCAAGCCCCAGCTCTATTGATTTTGGGCCTTACTTACAAATCCATTACTAAGTTCCCTTTTTATTTGATAAGCTTCTATGTATTGAGTGTATGTTTGGATGTAATTGAATTTTCGAAAAATATATTTTTTCAGTCAATTGACAATAAACGCATACAGATCTTATAGACACGATTATTTAAATTTAAAACCTTTAAGAATAATAACACTCTTTTTACTATTGAAGTCACTCAATAGGTTTAATTATTTTAATCAATCATCGTATATAACTTTTAAATAATGTAATATTCAATTAATTCAAAGTATTATAAATACTATAAATATTTTTTAAATTCTCACTTTAAAAATATTAAAGGAATATATGTTGAATTTGTGAGATTTAAGATATATTTTCATAAAATAAATATTAAATTCGCGTTAATGATACTAAAAATAGTATACATAAAATTTTATAATCCAACAATCGTTGACTATGATGGTGAGCAACTACTACTAAAAGAGACTTTTACCAAATTAAAGGGTTGAAATGGGTTATCTTAATGATGGGGGAAAAATGAATGATTCAAAAACTTATGGTCGATTTGACATTTTGTTTGGAAGTAAGGGATCAAATTAAAAATTAACATTTTTATTAATGTATCACATTTGTTACAATTTAATTATTGAATTGTTAACTCTCATTATTTTAATAATATGATACATTAATAAAAATGTTAATTTTTAATTTGATCCCTAACTTCCAAACAAAATGTCAAATCGACCATATTATTAAAATAAATTAGTTTACCCTTATAAAAAAACACCATATAATTAAAATTCACTACAAGACCCTAAACTATATGAATTTATTTTCGTAATTTAAATTAATATAAATAAATTATTTTTCTTGATTATTAATTTAAATTGAATAAGTTGAACCAAATACTGAAATTCAAGTTTCTATTTAGATAAAAGCTTTAATACCAAATTGAACTTTAACGAAGTTTAGGTACTAAAATATATATTTATCATAATGAAAAACGTAAACAAACTTGTTTGCTCATAAACCGGTAAAACCCTACCCTATTCAAGCAGCAATTGTAACCTAAAACCCCAAACTTGGTTTACTTTGATTGAAGAGCAGAAGAGGGAAATGCAAAAGCATCAATTTAGTGAAAAACCCATGCCGGCCATCTTAGCACTGGCACTTGCTGCAGTGTTTTCCGCTTCCTCAGCTATCTCCTGTATCATCTCTCTCTTACCCGCTTGCTTCTTCTTCTTCTTTACATATTTAACACGAAGCTATGGTGATTGTTGATCTTCTTTCTTTTCAGTTTATAAATGGAAGAAGAAGCCGATGGAGTCTTATTCAAAGGTGAAAGAGCTTCAAAAATCCCTCAATTCTGCTTTGGAAAAATGTGCTGCTGAAAGACAAGGTCGGATTAGGGCTCAACAGGTTCTTTCTTTTTCCTTTTCTCTCATTCTTTTATTGCTTTTCCTTTTGTTTTTGTTGTATACTAATAAGAAATAATCGAATATTTGCAGGCATTGAGGAAAGCAGTAGTAGCACAAGCACAAACCGAGTCTGAGAACTCGGACACAACGTCGTATCCGATGGCTCCGATCGGTGTCGTTCAATCTTGCTTTTCTACGAGGTGATTTTCCAATGGTTCTTCGTTTAAAGAATTAACAATTTTAATCTACAGAATGAAAAATGACCTGTGTGAAGTAAAGTTGTGCAGCAATATGCATGTGTGAGTTTTTGTATGTGTTTCTCTGTTTGTATATATAAAATATGCAATTCTTTTAAAGTTTATCTGTAAAGTTTGGCGCACTAGGCAATGCACCTGAACAGGGACGGAGCTAGGATCACAATACCAGGAGGGTCAAAATTCAAATTTCTAAACTTTAGAAAACAAGGGCCTATTAACTATTTAACCTCAAATTTTATGGGGAGTAAGGCTTAATTTGACTAATGTTTAAATTTGGCTTAAAATGCCATTAGATGAAAACTTTTAAATTTGGAGGGCTTACTACTAATTTTATCTTTGCAGTCAATGATAGTTTTCTTTTACTGCTAAGAACGATTACATGTATAATTTATGCAGGAACGGGACCCCTAGGCAACCTCTACTCGTCCCTCTTGCTAGGGCCTGTTTGATTTTCGATTCAACTAGAGTTCCACCAGCATCACTTGAGGGTCTTGAAGAATATTCTCATTGCTGGATTATATATGTATTTCATTTGAATACGGATTTGGAGAAGTTATGGAAGCATCCATCTAAATCGAAGTTTAAGGCCAAGGTTTGTGGAACCGTAATAAGGATACAAATATGTATATTTATTTCTATCATTTCTGAAGCTTTCCTATCATCTTGAAACTTCTATGGAAGGTTGGTCACTTTTAATAGGTCAGGGTTCCAAGATTGAAAGGAGGAAGGAGGGGAGTTTTCGCAACACGATCCCCACATCGACCGTGTCCTATAGGACTCACTGTGGCAAAGGTATACAGTCATTTACGAATGTGTTATTGTTGCTACAACTTGTTTACCTATGATCGTTCTTTGGTTGATATTCGGGTTAACAGGGTATTGCAATTTTCTTCATAAATGTGTATGCATGTAAGAGAGCAAGAGCGAGAGATCACTTTCAAACTGATATACTCTATATTTTAGGTGGAGGCGGTACAAGGAAATGTGCTTCTACTCTCTGGCATAGATCTAGTTGATGGAACAGTAAGCTCGTTTCCTGAACTTCACTGGGAGCTATCATTGGCTTTACCTGTTTCTTTCCTGTTATGCTTTTTCTTGAAATCTATGAATACAAATACTGATTCGTGTGTGATTTTGTTAACAGCCAGTGCTTGACATCAAACCATATCTTCCATACTGTGACAGCATTGAAGGAGCGGTTGTACCAAACTGGGTCACGGTATTTTCTCTTTTATTGTTCTTTAGTTTGCCGGTATATTTATGTTTATTGTTCTGAAGTACGCCTAAATTTTGCTCAGGTGGATAGCATGCTGTCAATTGCTTCTGTCAGCTTCTCTGATGACTTCTCGTCTTCACTCGAAAGCTGCTGGATATCAGTGGTAAGTATGCAAATTTTTTCTCTAATTTTAAATACAACAAATGATGTAGGAACCATGCAACAGTCATTACGAAAGGCATAATTTGTTGTTTATTGTTTGACAACGAGCCTTCTTCGTCTTTCGGTACAAAGCTATGTGGTTGATCTGAAAGAATACTTTTGTTACAGGAGAAGAAATCCCTCTATTCTTCACCGGATGAACTTAAAAACTTGGTCAAACAAGTCCTTTCTTGGGATATTCGTTCGGTATCTCAACGAAACCGACTTCATAATGATCTCCTAGAAATTGGAACCACCGACACCTCCAATAGTACTTTGGATATGGATGATTCCCAAGACGGAGAAGCGGCTGATTCCAGAGAGTTAATGTATCACCTGGTTTTGGATGGAATGGATTTCTCGTATGAGATTGATGGCAACGGCAACGTGATCATAAAGAAAGTCCGTCGTTCATCTTCAGTGTCATTCGGTAATGAAAAACGTTGCAATTACTCGATGTGGAAAGACAAACTCGAGTAAGTGTTTGCTTTCTAAAAGGCCGGACGTTATTCTGATTTTCACTACTCATGCTGATTTTGTCAGAACGTTGTATTTTTGCTGCAAGGCAAAAAATTAAGATTCAATGAAGCTCTGTGTTCTGACTTTGGAGGATGACAATGTCGCCGGTAATTGGTTTCCCTTGTCAGTTTTACAGTCATTCATTCGATTAATTCCGTTTATTTAGTATATTATATGAACTTGATTTCATAACTTGATTATTTATGGATAGAACTTTGATTCGAGAACACCTAGCATAAGACTGAAATTTGCATGTGAATGGCATTTTGCATCACCATTGAATAATGAAACAAGCTTTATTTTATTAATGAAACTCATCAAATTACTTACAAACAAACATAGCCTCGAATTTACCAATTGCAGAAGTATAGTTTCTATGAACGGAACATTTCTCAAATCTGTCGTCTTTAGAACGATGCTCGGCTGATGGGAGACACAGCTGACTCTTGTTTCTCCATTTTAGCCAAAGCATTCGATTCCTTTTAACTCAAACATGTATGTGCTTGTTACGAAGAACACATTGACTCGGTATTTAGGGTTAAAACAGAAGAAAAACTATTATGATCAGCAGTACAACAGAGCATGCCATTGCCTGCAACAACAAAGTCGGGCCATGGATGTTATATACATGGGTATGAACTTAGATTGTCTGATCGATTCAAATGTTGTTTACGAGAGGAGAAAAATAAGGGCAGCGACTAGGAGCACTTACAGCGATTGCAGAGGCAGCAAGGCCAGCTCTCTCTCTCGGATCTTTACGGTAGTGATTCCCGAAATAGAGAAATGTAGCATAGTACCACATCAACGGACATAGAAATCCTACCAGGAAGCTGTAAGAAACAAGACGTGAGAAATGGAAAAAACTGGTGGAAGAAACATGGTGGGAAGAGCAAGAAATACTCACGAGAACCATCCGATCCCGCAGCCAAAGCAAGGGAGAGGCTTGTCGAAAATCCCAGTTTGGAAGTCCTCGTCTTTGATAAGCGTATACTTTCCTTTACCCGCTGCATCCAGCGCTTGCCCTACCATCACAGCTTGACGTCTTGATTCACATATATACTTGTATAAATAACACAATGCATGATCGATGGCCAATCACACGTAGCAAACTATGGAAAAATAATGGCTTAACAGAGTCCCTACCCTTAAATGGTGAATAGTATCGAGCAGATGGCCTCAAAAGATCAAGATGTTTATCGGAGAGTGATCTTGAAACCTCGAGGCTGTTTCCTGAATTCCTGGACTCTACGCCGGTAGCGCCTGTGACATTGTTAATCATGTTATAATTCAGAAACTAATTATCAAATTCATCCCGAATAAAAGAAATTCCCGACATAGCATCCAACACTGAGGAACTTTGAAAACCGGCTATATAAGACGATGCAATGTTTCCGGACAGAAAACACAAGCTTTTAGGTGCAAATATAATCAGACAGCATCACGGAAACACAAGTTCTCAACTTAAAATGTGGGCATATTAGAAGTAAAGTAAAGATGGAGAAAAACTTTGATTACTTTGATCCATGTGTGTCGGAGATGTGTTTGGAGAGTGCTAAAACTCCTCGGCGTATACTCAACGGACGAAATCCCTGCTTCGAACGATGATGAAAAACCTCAGATTCCAATAGTAAGAACGATCAATAACGGAAATAACTGATTGTACGTTTGCAAAACAAGAAGAAAAGAAACAATCTGGAAAATCATGGACATAAAGAGAATTCAGGCGCACTCAAAACACTAAATGTGCTATCCCAACCCGATTACACAACCTAGAAAATAACATCCACCGTCATGCGGGGGCCGGAGCCCCTTGACTTGGGAGTCTTCGCATCAACCGCAGATTTTGCAAATTTTTTTACCAATCTATGGGCTGCACTGCAAATTTCTTGACCGAGCTAAAACGAAATTCGTGTCACAATTTCTAACAAATAATTCAATGAAAATTTTAATATATGATCCAAACTAGCTATAATATCACCAGATAAGCTTGCATAAAGGTAAATTAAGAACTAAAAAGGAAACATTTTCCCCCATCAGAGTCCATGAAATCAAAATCAATGCTTTTGGGGGAACTTTTCTATGACCAATCTTATGACAGAGTTCATGAATTCAAATAAAACTGGAAATTAACCATCGATACCTGCTAACGTCTAGGTTTATATTTATCAACTAATCATCCCGGGAAAATAAAGGAAAAATTGACAAAAAAAAGGAAATAAACAATAAAATTGATTACAAATCTTAAAAAAAATCCAAGAAAAAAGGGGTTCAAAACACGTAATCTAAAACAAACAGATCAGAAATTCAAAGAGAACGGAAGAAAATTGCCTATGTAGAACTCTGAACTTGGAAGAGTGAAACTTCGGGTTGGTTGTTCTTTATGTAAATCGAAGAAAAGAAGAATAATTATTTGAGAGAGTGGTTTAGATGACAAGCAAAGCCGAAAAATAATACTATTGTTCAAAAAATTAGTCCATGATTTTAATTTTTTTTAATTTCTTATAAAAAAAATTTTAATTCAAAATTTCTGTGATTTCTCAATAATCAAACATCTTTTAAATCCTAACATAAGAAAATGAAGGAGGAATTGAGCTATATATCTTTATTCTACATTGATTGAATGATATATATTTTAGATAGTAGTGGTTAAGGATTTCATGATTTTGAGTTTGGGATTGAATTTTATGAGTTTTGAAATGATTTATATAAAATGTAAATTGATAGAGTGTTAGAAGACAACGAGACTAATTCATCGATATCTTCTATGGTTGAAAAAGATACCTGAGAAAGATAATTTCAATACTGACGTGACACAGAGATGAAAATGTAACATTTTTATTTTTAAAATAGAATATAAAATAAAAAATAATGTGGATGAAACATGCATTTTATTTTAATAAAAAACACTCCACATCAACGTATGTGATTTTTATGTTACCCTTCCATTTGAAGTTTAATATCGAGTGCTCAAAATAAAAGTAAATCGAAAGTTTAATGAATGCATGGAAAACTTTTAAATTTAATGACAAAAATAAGAATAAAAAAATTAAGTGATAAAATTTGTCATTTACCTAACCTCAGTTATGGCGGAAAATTACGGGAAAATATATTTTATTTTCTCCGCTCGTCTTATTTTGTTATTATCCTTATCATTGCTTGTAATAAAATAAACATGTCTTTTAGTATTGCTTACTTTTTATTCGATAGCTACCGCGAAAATTATTGTAATGAAATGCTTTTCTTAATTGGACCGCGCTTGAAATGACAACTAAATCCGTAAATTGTTTGAGTTGTTGGTGTTATTTAAGTTAATTAGAATTTTCAATTCAAATTTTAAATTTAAATAAGTTTAAATCATCGAAAAATTTAAAAAAACCAAAGTGAGGTTATTTTAAATTTTAAATAATTAATTTGTAATTAAGTCCTTAATCTTTTTTTTTGTTTTTGAAATTTATTTTTTTATTTAAACTTAAATAATTAATTTCTATTTTTGAATAATTAAGATTTTTAATTTAAATTTTAAATTCAATAACCATTTGAATTTGTTAAGTTTAAATGATCGAAAAAACAAGGTAGGTTCCAACCTACGTTAGACGAGGAAAACATAATCGATTTCAATATTAATCCAACAACCGATAATTTAGATTCGATAATCATATAGTTTTTGGGGAATCCAATAAGTAAAAAAGAAAGACGACGACGACACCGTTATCAAGAGGAGGAAATAATTATTATATCATTTTTCAATATTAATTTTTTTATAATTTATTTTTACCTTTTAGAATTTTATATATTACGTCCGTCTCAATCATAATGTGACCGTAGCAAGTGCCGTAATCAACCTCGGCTTATTGCCAACAATTTATGGAGAGGGTAACTTCATAGATTGGGTGGGCCTACTCCTGCAACTTGGCTATTGCCTGATAAGCCCATTTGGCATTATTCTTGAAAATTTTTGTTTCAAAATTATTTAATTTAAATTTAAAATATTTAATATTATTCTAAAATTATTTTTAAATAATATAATATATTTAAAACTTAAATAATATATCAATAATTAAATATTTAATCCCAAACTAAATTTTTATTTAAAATATCATAATATTTTTATTTAAGTATGGAGTAATTATAAGGTGATATCTATTTATAATTTTTTAGGTAATTAATAATAAACACACACATCTTGTAGCTGCTCAAACTGAGAATTTTTAGAAAAATCAACACTCTCTATTATCATTAAATACGTTTGCTAAAAATGTATAATTAATTATTTTTAATGTAAAAGATGATTGTTGTATCAAGTAACTCAAAGTTTTAGATGAAAGATTCATTTATTTGAAAATTCCCATAGACGTGAATGTTGTTATATTTAAATTGATTCACATTTATTTTTATTTTTATTTAATATTAATAGTAATATTAATTTTAAAAAATAAAATAATTATATTTAAATAAAAATTATTAATATATTTTAATATTAAAAGTTAAATGGAAGTCAAAATTTAACACATTAGTACTGCTTGGTTCCCTTTCCAACTCCTACAGATGAGGATGAGACCCCAAACACGTGAATAGCCATAAATACGAGCTTTTAGGCTTTGTCCACCCTTCATCTCATCATATAAAATAAAATAACCTAATACTTTAGATATATTATATTTTTAAAATACTATTAATATACTTTAATTATATATATATATATATATATATATATAGAGAAATATATATATTTAAACCAATGTAAGACTAAAGGAATAATATTTCAAAAATCTAACTATTACTTTATATGTTTTATTTACATAAGATCATATGCCTAAATTTAAATAGATTAAAGGTTTAAGTGTTTTTATAGCCCTTCCAATTGTATCCCAAAATCAAATGAGTCGTCGCATTGAGTTATAGACCTCGAATTGTAAATTGGAAAACGTGAACTATATACATAACCAATCTATAATATACAGACTATTGCTATAATTTAATTTAACAGATTTCATATATATTATCCAGATTAAGATAAAAAATATATATAATCTAAGAAGTAAAAGGACTAAAAATGATCAAAATAAAATATATGAAATAAATAGATATTTTATGCATGGTATAAATATTATATAAAAACTTTGTATCTTTATATTCATCGAATGACCTCAGTAGTAAGATTGTTGTTCTCCCTAGAGGATTCTGGTTCGGGTAACTACGTCTGTAGGGTGTGTATCTTATCAATAGGTTAAGAAAAATTATGAACAAATATTATTTTATAATAACTCTAGACTATTAAAAACCAGGAAAAAAACTTAGATCAATTTTAAAAAATTCTTTAATTTATTACCTCCCACATATAAAATTAAAGGTAAAACATACCCAATAATACTTAATTATGCTTAAATGATGTCTTAATCATTATACATTCAAAATTATAAAATAATCATTAAAATTATTGATTTATTATAAAATAATTATTAAATTTTATAACTTTTAAAAGTAATTTGGTGATCATTTGTTATAAGATAATTTGAAGAAATGAAAAAAGTTGATTGCATCATAATCTTCGAGCTATTACTTTTATTTTAAATTGGTACATAAATTTTAAATATTTTTTTTTCAAACTATGATTTTTATTTTAAATTAATCCTTAAACTTTTGAATATTTTAATGTCATCCCAAAGTTTCGATATATACTAATCGTATTTCCTATTAGTAAAACTGTCAGGCCAAGCCAAATATTATATGTTTAAAAAAATAATATATAGGTTAATTTATAGTTGAAACTAATTACATATTTGGGTGGATATTCGGATGAAATTAGAATACTCAAAAGTTTCAGGATCAATTTAGAATGAGATTCATAGCTTGGGGATGAAATTGGAATATTCAAAATTTTGAGGACTAATTTAAAGGAGACATAATTTAAGGATAAAAAGGAAACATTAAAACGTTTTTGAACTAGTTTAAAATATGAATCATAATTTAAGGAGGTTTGATGTAATTAACTAGAAAAAGAAAAGAAATGAAGGAAAAAGGCGCGGGTAAATTAAAGAAAAGTAAAAGCGAAAGTGAAGTCAAGTCGTCTTCCTCGTGGCTGTTTTGTTCTGATGAAGACTGGTCTCCTCTGGAAAAGCATCAACCATGGAAACACTCTCCAGTCCTTTTAATAATTCTATTTTTCCTTTAAAAGAAAACTAATATTGTTTATCGCTCTGTGTAAAATCTAAAATCCTTATAAGAAAGGAAGATTAATTGTCACTCTGCTAACAAACAGCAAAAAAGAAGAAATGATGAAGAAAGGAAAGGGAATTTTGAACCCTAATTTGAAGCTCTCTCTTCCTCCTCCAGCTGAGACCTGCTTCGACGAGTTCCTGTAATTATAATTTTTTCATTACGTACTTTATTTTTCGGTTTAATTTGAAATTTTGATTTTGGTAATTGAATTTTTCATGGCAGTACACAAAGCGGTACGTTCAAAGACGGTGATCTCCTCGTCAACAAGGACGGTGTTCGAATCATCTCTCAATCCGAACCTGCACTTGTATGATTTTTTTTTCTTTTTTATTTTTTAAATTCATTGTTCAGATTCTTTGATCCCCCCCCCATTATTTATAAGCTTGATTTGTTAGATTTTCCTGTTTCTAGATTTGTTTTAAATTTTTCTATTGTTTTATCCCCAGCTTATTAAGCCATCAGAAGCTGAAAATGACGATCAGTTGAATTTAGAAGATTTTGATGTGATTAAAGTTATTGGCAAAGGTAATGGTGGAATTGTGCAACTGGTCCAACACAAATGGACGGAGCAGTTTTTTGCATTGAAGGTATATGTCTAAATGCCAATCTTAATAACACTTGTATAATTTTTCCGATCGACTCTTAGCTCGATCGGCACCGGTTACACTATGAATCAATGAAGCATTTACAGCCTTTCTTCTTTGATAAAAAATAATTCTTCTAAAGCAGATATCGTTGTTCCATCGTTACTAGGTTATTCAAATGAACATCGAGGAATCGGCACGCAAGCAGATCGCAAAGGAACTGAAAATAAACCAATTGTCTCAGTGTCCGAACGTCGTCGTTTGTTACAAGTCTTTCTTTAACAACGGTGTCATTTCGATCATTTTGGAGTATATGGATGGTGGATCCCTAGCAGATTTCTTGAAGAAGGTTAAATCCGTTCCCGAACCGTATCTCGCGGCAATTTGTAAGCAGGTCAGTACATTCGAGACTTCGAATTCATTATACTACGTACCAGATGTTTATGGTATATGCCTTTTGTGATTGCTCTTGTTAGCGCAGGTGGTCAAGGGTTTGATATATCTTCATCATGAAAAACACATTATCCACCGGGACTTAAAACCGTCTAACTTGTTGATAAATCATAGAGGAGAAGTTAAGATTACCGACTTCGGTGTTAGTGCGATAATGACGAACACCTCCGGACTAGCTAGCACTTTCGTTGGAACATACAACTATATGTCGGTAAGTACTTTACTGTGCCGAAATAACTATTCTTTTTAGTTGCTAAGGTGAGTTTCATTATAGTTCGGTACTTTTTATTTGCTTCTGTTGTAGCCTGAGAGAATTGCTGGTAGCAATTACGGCAATAAGAGCGACATTTGGAGCTTGGGGTTAGTGTTGCTCGAATGTGCAACTGGTCAGTTCCCATATTCCCCACCGGATCAGGCTGAAGGATGGACCAATTTTTTCGAGCTCATGGAACAAATTGTTCAACAACCGCCACCTTGTGCACCTTCAGATCAATACTCTTTGGAGTTTTGCTCGTTCATTTCTGCATGGTAAGATTATTTTTAACTACTTGATACACTTGCTTATTATGAGTGTTGTATTAAGTTAAAACGTTTGCATTGGTCATACGAGTTAACTAGTTATCCATGGCAGTGTACAAAAGGACCCAAAGGAAAGAAAGTCCGCACACGAATTGCTGGTATTGAAACATCCGGATTCCACTATCACACCATTGTTTCAAGCAGTAAGAATTCGATTAAATATCTGTTAAACAATGCTTATCGCATGTTTCAACGTGGATGCAGGCATTTCCTTTCTTGAACATGTACGATGACTTGGACATCAACCTCTCTTCTTACTTCTACAATGCCGGATTGCCACTTACACCGCTTTAGAACTTCTGTGGTATGTCTATGCTTAGGTTTGGTGATACAATTCTCTTGATCACTCTCCACCACTTCAGAACTCCACTTTTGGAATTAAAGTTCAAATGCCAGAACAATATGAGCTATTCATGCTTGAATTGTAATTAACTTTTTAAAGCGAAACCAACATTTACCTTCTTTTTGGCAGATTTCAGACTTCAGACGACTGAACATATATGATCAGTCAGAATCGAAACAATGTCCACAAAAACCGAAGTTTTAGAACCATGGAAGATTAGTATTGTCGTTCTGGACTTATTTGAGCAGCTGTTACTATGACAAGGCCCAAAGTTAAACATAAAAGAATATAGAAAAGTTTCCTTGCCATCGGATTGCTCACAACCTTGCGCATTGGGCTTAGTCGAAGATCAATCCTTTTTTCTTTTTTTCGATGAACCGGAATGTATTAAGTATGATGTAAGCTTGGATGCTATTGGAATTTAATGAATGTCGATTTCCTTTCAAAAACAAAGAATATCGGGTAGTAGTGGTGAGGTAGAAGTAATTGCTGTGTATTAATATTCCATAACTGAAAGATAATGCCGTGTGTTAGCCATTCTGGTGTATTCTGGGATGAATAGTATAGTTTAACAATCTTTGTAACAATGTGTATGGATGTAAGTCATCAAATCATGGTATTATATTCCGATCGACTCGACACGTCTATGCATTTCATTTGAAGGGATAGTTTCTCAACACTTGCATGTTAAATTCAGAAAACTGGAGCTAAATCCGAAAGAGAGTTCGGTTATTTTGACCGAACCGGTTATCGTAGCTATTAATGGTGGCAGTAAAATGAACAAGTTAATTGAGTATTTTGCATGACGCAGTGTACAAAGATACTTTAAAACAATACAAAGAAAGCTTTTTAGGTATCCTTGCTGTCAGGTTTTCTTCTTGAACTTTCTCTGTGCTTTTAAGTCCATGACAATGACTGTAATATTGTCTTTGCTTCCTTTACTAAGAGCAAGCTTTGAGAGGTAATCCGCAGCGGATTGAGCAGCCGGGTCAACTCCGTCACCCCTTTCTGCGGATAATTTGTCCCCATGCTTTTTATGCCAAAGGAGGATTCGTTTTCGAGCAACTTCACAAGCTTCCTCATTGCTCATGACATCCCATAAGCCATCACTGGCTAGGATAAGACACTCGTCTTCTTTGGCTCGAGGAACGCACATCACTTCGGGATCTGGAATTATCCATGGTTTCAAGTACCTGTCACCTGATCAAAGGATTCGGAATTACACATGTTCGACTCAGCAAAAGGCTAATATATGTTCTAAGATGGGAATTAAGGAGTAGAAACACATACCGATGGACCTCGACATTGCTAGAACACCGAAAACACGAGATCCATTCCACTGTATGACCTTCCCTCCCAAAGCTTCTATCCTTGTGTGTTCATCTTCTCTATCAGGCTGTAAAAAGCTCAATATAAACAACAGTGTCTTTGAAATTTGCATGTCCAGTGGAAAGAAAGCTCGGAATACGCAAATCTTACTTTGTGGTCTACGGACAACGGCACGGGCTGTTTTCCACGGTAGAGAACTGCCCTCGAATCGCCGCAATTGGCAACGATTATATGTGTTGGACGAACAACCGCAACTACAGCAGTAGAGCCGACGGTTTCGGGGGCAATAGGTCCGTTATCGGTATTGTTCTCACCTTTACGAACCCCTCCGATCTCAGCATCGACTTTGATGAAACAACTGGAGAATGCTTTCCTCCATTGTTCCTGCCAGTCGTGCTCGACATTTCCCTCTTGAATACATGATTTTGCCATTTCTATCTCCTCGGCTAAAGCCAAATGCATACGTTCACGGCAATAGTTTGCAACCTATGCATAGAAATAATATCGTTTAGACAAACCAAACTTGCAAAAACACAGAATAGAAGGCCATGAAGCATACCTGACATCCTCCATGTCCATCGTACACACCGTAGAAATGAGTCTCTGGGTCGCTTAAACCTTGATGCGTTCCGTTCGCTACGTTCTCGGCTTTCAGCATTCGACTAGGGACTCGCAAAAATCGTGGTATGGCAACAACGGCATCTTCCATTTCTGGTCTCCTACCACAAATGGATGTAAATCCCCATAGGGGTATGTTCCCTAATTCAAACAGACACTTGATTTCAGTTTTCCATATCCTCTTTTGCTGCTGCACGTCGAGGATCGAGTCCGACGATGTTTTATTGGACTCGTCGGACTTGTTGTCATCGTCCCCGAAAAAACCTGCAACTCTCTTCACATCTTGAACATCACTAGTTGATGAAATTTTCACAGAATTAACCTCCAAAGCTGAAATTTTCTCAACCTCGCTTCCTTGATGATTATATTCTCTAGAAATACAACTATCATAGGAGGAAACGACTCCGTTATTGCCTCGATCCCACTCGGTTCCGGAGGGTGACAACAAGCCTGCCTTCTCCGCAACAAGCTTACAGCCATTACTACGAACCACATCGCCTAACGAAAAAGCACAAGGACCAGCAATTGCTGCAGATACCTCCATGATCCTCTTTTCACCTGCAACAAGCAGCTCAAAACTACTTTATCCCCTTCTATTTCGATCGAATGCAACTCGGAAAAGTATCGAAAAATCGAATTAAATGGGTAATGAAATAAGGCCAAGGTCGACGAAAGTGAAGCTTGAGATGTCCCTAGAGCCTAAATACACCTTTCATATATCTGGACTCTTCTTTTGAACAAACAGATGGTGGGCATAGAACTATGAGCACATGTGAACATGCAAAAAGAAGAACTCAGAACATAATACCAGAAGAAAACACACACCCAGAATCCGGTTCCCTGGATCTAAGGTAATTCATATCAAACCCGGAACAAGGAGAATTTTGCTTGATGGTTTGAAACACTGAAATATATCAGAAAATCAAGCTAAAAAATGGGAAAATAGATGCAAGAATTGAAAAATAAAGGAAAATGGAGAGAAGAAAGCAAGAATGATGGATGACAGATAATAGAGAATAACATGTGAAGAAGCACACCTGTCCTTATTACTCGACAAAGGAACATTAGATAATGTAAGAGAAACGAATTAAACTAACACAAAGAATCTGCACGTAAGCTCATGGACAAAATTAACAAATTCTGGAAAAAGTTGAAATATTTGTTTCATTTGCACCAGACGTTCTCCAACTGTAGTTGAATTCAAACCGATCCTTAAATCTCGATTTGTTTCATTTGAACCCTCGAAATAAAATATTTTCCAATCAAATCCTTCTTTCAGTCTAGTTTTGGAATGGAGTCGAGTCAAACTTAGTCAACTAAGCTTGAATAGTGAGAAGCTCGGACTTAACTTGATTAAAAACTCGTACAACCTCGAGCCTGGCTTGATGGCCCGTCGAGCTAAACTATTTTTAAAAATAATTTTTTTAAAACTACTTGAGTCTAATATTAAGATACACAAATTAGACTCACTCGACGACTCGATACAATAATGACTAAATCAAATTTGAGCTTTGTTTGGAGTTAAACAACTTATAAGCACAATCGTCTCATTCACATCCCTAATGAAATCATCATCTTTAACATTTTTAACACTTAATGTTAAGTTTAGATGTGATATGTTTAACAATACTTATTATCTCGTGCATGTGTAAAAACAAATCCATGTTAGATCTGGTTAATATTTAACTTAAAATTTGGACTATTAGATTAGTGAAATGACCTAATTAAAATGATATATTAGTTTAAGGATTAAACTAAAATATTTTAAATTTCAGAGATTAATTTAAAATTTAGCCCAGTTCGGGAACCTGGATGAAATTAACCCTTATTAAATATTAAATGAAAAAAAGTTATGGTTAATGTTTGGAGGGGAGAAAGAGAAAAGCATCAAGCAATTGTCTTGTAGCAATTAAATAAATAGAGAAAATACATGTGAAAGTGAAAAAGTCCAATGCAGGATTTGCCACGTAAAAGGATCTGGAAAATCAGGTTGGTGACCGAAGACAAAGAGAGGGAGAGGGAGAGAGAGAGAGAGAGAAGGAGTGACGTGCATTTAATTTTACAGTATTATTTTCTATTTTTTATTTGGTATCTATATCTTTGATATATCAACCGATTGATTTTATTATAAAAGTTTATTATGAAAATATTCTGATTTTATTTTTTTATATATTTAGTTTACTCTATTTATAATATTAAAATTCAATTCTAATGTTAATTAAAAGATCTAATATTTTATCTTATTAAATTAATTAATTATCAGTAGAATACTATTCTATTTTTATATAATATTAAAATTACATATAAATATGAACTATGATACTGATTTAAGGAAACAAAATATAATTAACAAAATAGAGATAAAATAAGAGGTAAAATGCATTCATAACTTTGAGAAAAAAAATCAATCAAATCAATATTTAAATAATAAAATATCACTTTATTTAAATCTTAAAAATGAAAAGAGAGAAATGGACGGGGAGATGAATGTAGATGGAAGGTGGAATTCTAGGTTGGGTTATTGATAAATGGATTCATGAACTGACACCTCAACTCCTTTCCCTATTTACTATTTAGGGTTTATTGGATTCTTCGATATTTATTTTTGCCCACCCTCTTCTTTTCTGCCACGTGTGCTTTTACTTTTAATTTTTTTAATAAAAGCTTATTTTAATATTCGATGATTTGCAGGACACGACCTCCAATGTATTGGCTGAAGTTTCCCTGCTATTAGCTAACCTATATTAGATATTTAAGAAATTATTTATACATATTAATTTTAATATCATATCTACTAATCGACTACTTTTACAGACATAATTTATTAACCCGATCATAATACCTTGCGACGCTTTAAAGAGATGCTTCCCATAAAAGTTAACATTACTCTCAATAAATGAGTCTAGATTTATTTAGTTATATATCTAGACATCATAGAGAAAGAGGTGTTTTCTCGATAATATAATCATTCGCGTAATAATTTGTTTAAAATATATTTAACGCGTTAATATACAAATTACGATATGATATTTAAAGACAATAAAGATTTTTGGATGAAAGATATAGTGAGACTTAACAAAGTTACCGTTCAATTCTACAACTCAATCAAGAGAGACCTCTTATCGTCCCCAAGTATTTCTCATAGAAAGGCATCGTGTCATCCACTTAGCTCCAATACCCATGCACGTAGACTCCACATAAACTTAAGGTATTATTTGGTTCACGAAATATAAAATTATTATTGAGAATAAAATTATCAGAATATTACATTACTTAATATACTATTGGGAATATTATATTATATTATTTAGTTTGTTTGACAAAAATATAAGATTACAATATTTGATTGAAAGAATATAAGAAAAATATATATTTTAGCAAATTATCCCTAAAATATATATTTTTTAACAAATTAAATTCTCAATATTAAAATAAAATATTTATATGAAAGTTCATAAAAAATATAATTTTTTAATATTTCTAATTTATATATATTTTTAATAAATTTACACACAAATAACTTGATATATATTTTTATTTTTTTAAAATACAAAAACATACTAACACCAATATAATTATGTCTATTTTTAAATACCAAAATATTGGAAGATATACATACTTATACTAGTTATTTTATTTATGCTACATTATTGAGTTGTACAACAAAATATCATATCGAATTATTTGATAAAATAATAAACATAAAAAATATAATAATAAAACATTTCATTATATGCATCATATTAGCAAACTTTTGAATTAATTATCAAACGTTTATATATGTAATTATATTTAATATCATAACATTTTAGCATATTAGGGAGCAATGGATAAAATCCTTTCTTGAGAGCCTAGAAAAAAATAAATGGATGGATGATTTTGAAATTATTCTTTTGTTTTAGGAATATTTTTATTCTGGGAATTGTTAAATACCTCAAGGAAGAGAGGAAAATGACATTGTGAAAGCACCCAAAAAAAAAAACAATGACATTGTAGGGAATGATGCTCCATGACCTCGGAGGGAATGTTTTTAAACCAAACGTGGGTATGTGATTATGGAAAAGATTATCCCCTGATAATAATCTATTCCATGAACCAAACGCCCCCAGAAGAATGTCATTTACACCATGATAAGTCCACTTGCTAGCTCAAGGAGAAGAGACAACTCTCTCAACTCAATTTACTCCTTTTACACCTTCAAAATTCAAACCTTAACAAATATTATTGCAAATCAAGGGAGCCAAAACAAAGTTTTCAACAAGTAAATCACAGAAGTGTTCCTCACAAGGATTCATGAGTTTCAATAGAAATTTTCTATGCATAAACATGATAATCGAGGACTAGCATTGTGCAGAAATGCGCACGGCATGTATATTGAATGCACCCGTTACATGACGTGAAGCATCAAAGGACATTTGGAAAAGAATGAAGTAATTAGGATATTGACATAGAGTTCGAAAATGAAGACGGCTCAGCTAGGATGATAACTAAAGCAAAGGTATACTCGAGCCTGAATACTTTTTCAGGTAACAAATTACACGGAAATTAATTCTCAAAATGAACGATGCACGATTCTTGACAGGCCCCATTCGATAGTTAAATCGTTCATGTTAAAGCAAGTTGTGAATCGTGTATAAATATGAGCTTTAAACGGCAGTGGATGAACATTACTGGACCCGATCCTTTTGCTGCCAATCCTTCTACACTGTACTACAAGTGATTCCCTGCCTTCAAAATAAAGTAGACATTCTCTAAGAAAATAACAGTAAACCTATGTTACTCGGACTTCATTTTTCTTGAAGTACTCATATCCGACATATGGATATGGAGATATGACTTCCAAGGACCCTCCAAAGCCCAAATACATGGAAAACCTAAGAAAAGTCTAACCGAACCCATGTCAGAGACATATTCGTACCGTACACTCATACTGAGTTCGAATAACATAGCAGTAAACAACATAAAAATGGACGGAAGTCTATATACAAGACTAGAAAAGGGTATTCAGGATTTACCTTGGTGGTAATGCAGAATAATCAGAACGAGGCAGATGGCATTACACTCAATTTGAGGGGAACATATCTTGACCTGAAAATCCAAGAGAGAAATTTTACCAGCAACCATTTTTGAGTCGTAGTTCCTGAGATTATTGAAGTGAGAACCTGCAAATTCATGTAAACATCCGGAGCTAAAAGTACCTGCTCGTCCTGAAATCATCTTTTCTGACTGGAAAAACGGGGTGAGTTATTGTATCAACATCTTCATTGAACATTCTTACCTCTTAGCGTCGGAAGAAACTTCATGAACAAAACCTGAGGGGAAATTACCATGTCTGTATAACAACTTTTAACTGCAGCAGCAGCCGGAAAAGTGAAAACAAAGATACATAAACCAATGAAATCAGGAAATAAAACCCTATATGATTATGTTTACAAATATTAATAAATTGCACAAAAAAACTAATTTTATTTGGAATATAAATGTATGTACATTGATCTCAGATCTATAAAAGCTACAGCCAGGGTACAGTGTTTGCTAAGATATAATTGCCAAGGCATACAAACTTGTAGGAACAAAAAAGATATTTACACCAGAAGTCACCAACTTGAGAGAAAATTTTCAAGAAGTCCGAATGGTTCAACTCGAAAGTCAACTTGTGGATGAGTCTACAAAGAATCTATTATAACCTAATTGCGGATCGGACAGCCAAACAACTATCCATGTAACGCCATTTCTTGATGACTGATTGTGCTTTTGTTTTTAAAAACAGATTAATGAACAAGACTATACAAAGAAAGCAACTCAAACCATCATATTCAAGTCGGAAAGATCATCCATGGGGATTTCAAGGCCCATGAAGTCATGATCTTGTAACCCATCATCATCGATGTTCAACCATGAACCCAAATCTTGTCCCGGTAGTTGTAAGTCATCCAATACATCCAGGCCAAACTCATCTTTTTCTTTAGCATTATTATTGGTGGCTATCTCACTTGTCTTCAATACAGAAGTCGATGTTTTGGGTTGCTCTGACATCTTGCCGAAAAGGCCATTTACAGAAACAGATAGCTGAGTTGTTTTCTGCTTAGGCTTTGTTTTCGATTTCCTTTCCCCCTTTGCATTGGATACAGGTCGACCAATCTTATTAGTTCCACTTCTAGATGCTTCTCTACCATGTCCATTTCCTTCTCTGTCTCTCTCACTCCTCTTTCCTTTTGTACTACTCAACAAAGAACTTCCAATGCCTGGCTGGGCACTAGAAGTACCACCAACCACATCTTCCAGCAATAACTCTCTTCTTTTCACCCTGTTAGACCACGACTCATCTTTTACAACAGTTTGATCGGATGACCGACTTGTGGGTAGAAGCAGGTCAGAAGAACTAACAGCATAGCTATCCCCATTTTGACCTGCCAGCAGTGACAATCCAGAGCTAAATTACACCATAATACCAAACCAAAAACTGGAGGAGATGAAACAATTTAACAGAATGCAAAAAAGCACCATCAATAACATTTTGCAGATGATTACATTACATGGGATCAAACAAATACGCATAGGAATTCTAAAGTGTGTACTCTCTCCATAGGCATGCATACCTGAGGTTCTAGCTTCCAGAGAGCGGGTGGAACTTCTGGCGCATGGCTTTCCAGATTCAGTATCAGCAGGTGTATCTACCAACTGTGTACCATTTAGCCGGGAAGACCCAGAAAGAAACATTTCTCTAAGCATGGGCTCATCAAAGCAGCTTGTGCCTGTATCTTCAAATTTATGATATCGATCTAATGTCCGTTTAACAAATGCTAAGGCAGATTGCTTGACTATTTTGTTACTGGAACTCTTTCCACCAGTTGCACTAGGACCCCAACAACTCTATTAAAAGATTATGAATAGATCATCAAAATAGAATTCCAGCATCATTAATAATATGTTAGCACATAGTAGAATGGGTAATGGGTAAATAAACAGTTAAACTTTAAGATGATTAAAAATTCACAATGGGAAATGAAAGCTGTAACACGCAGAGAGGGAACAAGCAGATTTATCCACCTTTAAACTAATCTCAGGAGAAAAACTAGTGAAGCAAACTCAAATTTCGAGACAATATCCCATTTACAATATAAATTTTGCAACAAAAGGAAAAGTACCCTGTTATTTATCCACCTTAAGAAATTTGTCATCAATGCTGCTTAAGAGTTGTTAGATAAAAAGCTCCGTAGGCCAAGTCTTCAAAAGGCCTTAAAAGACTTTCCACTATACTAAAACCCGAGACTCAAAACGTGACAAATAATTAATTCCTGGGAACGTCAAAGAGGGCACCTAAGCATATGTACTTGTAACCGATTGTAATTTGTAAATTAATTTAGATTAGATAAACTCTATACTAAGTTTAAATATCAGTGGTTAGCTTAGATTAGGATAAACTCTATCCTAAGTTTAAATAAAGAGTTGTACAGCTATAGGAGTTCTAGCCTAAGAATACTTCTTTGTCTTTAAAAGACTCACTTATTTTCTTTTGAGATTGAATGAAATAGACTGAAGAAACAAACTGTTTCTCGTCAAATTCCACAGTACTAAGAAGGGGAAGGACATAAGTCCCCTGCCTCAAATCAGGCAGCAATAACCATATTATGATCATATAAGATCAAGGAGAACCTGCGGAAGCATTATCCACTTGGACCTTAGTGAGTAAGGAAAGTTTGGACCTAAGTTGAGACATCTCTTCACTATCTTAAGACCACGAGTTTGAACTACCCGGCAGGAGGTAGTTCTCTCCTGTGACATTGAAGATTTTCACCAACTTTGTGCTTTGTTTTATATTTAGACCAGTTAGTTAAGTTAAAATATTGACATCCTGTCCATTTTCATTATTATGCTAGTTTTGGTCCACACAGTCAACTAATTCCTTGAAATCCCTCGACTAGACTAGAGCTTACTCATGTTGAAGGGCTTTCCTAAATTAATTTAGCAAAAATGACTTGGTTCTGGGCACCCAAGAATTTTAACATTTCGTGTATGGGCGTGTGCAAATGAAAACCAAAACAAAAAGAGCATTAAGAGAATTACCATGTACTTTTCATAAGCCATTGTAACAAGTTTGTCAAGAGCTCGTTGTTCGAATTCCCTATATGAAAAAAAATATGTTTAGATGTACACAAGGTACCATAGACTTCTAAGTTAAATGCCAAATGCATACAAAACTAAGTGAAGGGATAGGGTAAAACAGTACTTCTCCTGAATTGTTCTTGTTATTGAGGCAGCTTTCAATAGTTTATCAACCAAACCTTTCTTCTTTGAAACCTATTGCATTCACAACAAGATTACAAATTGAACTTCTCAGACCAAGCTTTGAACTTTATGATGGAAACTCCGACAATAAGTAGAGTAGCATAGGTAAGAAGAAAAGTAGAGCTTGTTGAATATCTAATGACAGTAATCATGAGACAGAAGGGTGGAAACAATAATGTAAGGAGGAAAGAAAAAGAAATATCAGATAGTGTATCGGAGCTTCAATAATTCCATTGAGAAAGTACCTGTTCCTTGTGCTTTTCCTCTAGCTTACTAATGTCCTCAAGGATCTCAACATCCCCCATTTGTGCTATGTCAGACTGAAAAAAATAGAAAACATATAAAGTTATATACATAAACAACCTTAATGACAAGAAACTAAGCAGACACAAGATTTTTTTTTTGGGCGAGGGGGGGGGATTCCCTTCAAGATAATAAGAGTGGACATCCATGAACCACTGGACGAGCAACCATTCAGATAACATACAAGCGCAGGTCAGATTGCTAGACTATAATAACTATTGACATTGAAACAACATAGAGAAGGGGAGAGAACTGCCAACTGCATATTTCATAATATTTTGTGACAAGACAAAAATGCAGCATTTAATATAAATATTCATGTAGAAGTAGACCAACCGGTGGTTCTAAAAAAATTCCAATACTTTGAGCCTCCAAAATGAGTTTCTCGTTTATCTTCATACTCTCGTATTGTAATTCTGAACAAACCATGCCAGGCATTGGTTGGTCTGGAAAACTGTCATTCTGGGAATGACTAAAATTTGAGTTGTTAATTCCTGTGTTTCCCAACACATCAATTTCAGGATCATGTTCTGGCTTCCTAGATATCCTATAACCATCAAATGAAGCATGCCCAGCCGATTGAAAGTTAACAATATGACTCAAACCATTGGATCGTGATTCCCCATCCATCTTAAATTCAGTTCCATAAATGTCAAATGGGAGGCCTTCATTTTCTCTACCATTATCTTCTTCTGGAATTAGAGCTGCTAAAAATCTTTGACAAACAGGAATCACATTATTCTCCCTTGTATCCAGGAGTAACTGTTGTGAATGAATTTCATCAACTGATGCTACAGCACCAATTCTGCCATCTGTTTCATCTTCAAGTAATCCACACCCATTGAATATGGTACTACAACCATCTGTAATAGAAGAAACTGGTGTTGATCCCAATTTGGTGAATTCATAATTTCCCTGAAAGATATGGAAACAAGTTAAAGAGACTAATATACTTAAGAAGAAAGAAGCCCTACAAAAGGTCTTAATTTACCTGAAGAGAGACACAAGATTTTAAATACAAATATGCTTTCTAAGATCTTATAATAAAGATGGCAAAAAGGTTTTATAACAAAAGTAACCATCAATTTTAATCGGTGGGACTAGAACAATACCTGCTTCTTTAAATAGGCAATATTTGCATCAGATATGAAACCAAGGAAAGGCTCCATCTGCCTCCAAAATGTGTTGGGGAAGGCTTGAGCTGCAACGATAGTAATGATGGCAAAATCAATCGGTGCAAAAAAGTAAATGCTGAACCAAGCAAAATAACAAAATTTTGAACCCAGCCCCCACCCCAACAAAAATTAAAATAAATTAATGATAATAAAAATAGGAGACACTACCAGAACTAATAAGCGCGTTTACAGCAGCAACCAACTCTTCATTTCCATCCTCCAAAGCAACTAAGGTTAGTGTACAAAATGTATTAGAAGCCACAACCACGTAGTCAAAGATTTAGAAATGCAGAAAATTTTATTAAGGATTGTATTTAACAGTCCAAGGATATTTCTTCATTAGCTTGAAGTATAACTACCAAGAAGATCTGCAGCTGCATTCATTGCTGCATGCTTCTGGCGAGCATAAGCCTTGCGGTCAGTGAGCTTCCTAGTTGGAGGACGACCAGTCTTGCTGAGCAAAATATTAATCAAATTATGAGAATTCAATCAGAAAAAATAGTGGTTCAAGACCACAATAAAAGAAATATTATCGGTGAAAAAGGTAACAGGTGGTCAGGTAGATAGAAGTATTTAACCTCTCCGCCTTATCCAATCCAAGCCTGGCACTTCTGAGTTGTTTTGCTGTTCCAACATTGCCATACTTCTCAACTGCCATTGGCATAACAGATCTTGTAGAAGTAACACTTCGCCCAGTCCTCCCTTGTCGTACACCATCCCCAATGTCTTCTCCATTCATCAGCTTATTCTTTCTTGATGGCAGGATCAAAGTTGATACTTTTTTAACATTCTGTCCAGCTTTCTCATCTATTTCATCAGACTTGGTCACCTTCCCTTTAGATTTAATTTCAGCAGCCCCAGACTCCTCACTTTCAGAAAGAGCAACTGAAGATAAAGCGTCACCTTTTAGTTTAGCTTGTTGGGGAGAACCGCTTGACAAGCGTCTAGCATATCCTGACCCAATCTCATTTCCAGCCATATCAGACACATTATCCAGCAATGGAGTTTCATCATTATTTGAAAGAATAGGAACAAGATTTGTTCGTCTTGCAGTTCGTGAGCTCTTCTGTGGTCTCTGACTGGCCCAATTGGCAACAGGTGGTGATGAAGACTGAGTTGATATCGTGCGTTTGCGGTTACTCACTCCACCAGCAGTAGGTAGTTTATTTGTACAGTGAGATAGCTCCCAGTCATTTGATGTTGTTGTTCTGTGAACAACTGGTGACAACTTTGGGGCAACTCCAGAACCCGATCGTGGACCACGAATAGATGCATTCAGTTTTGTGCTTGAAGTCGGACTAGCTGAATTAAACTCATCACGCGCGCTCACCCTGCATATTGTAGAGAACAAAGAGCAAACAAATAAGTACACATACTGCAGTAAAACACTAAAAGGAGAAGCATGCCAGGAGACAGAAATAAAGATGCCCCAAAGGACAAAAACCAAGGCTTTTACAATAGAACTAGCCAACTAGGCCAGTAAAATTTATGCAAAAAGATTAAACACGTATTGGGAAAACAATGCATACTTGCTAACAGCTCTTAGATTCACTCTCTCTTTATCGGAAGGAACAGGATGATCTCTCCTATCATTGCGAAGGGAACTGTTGTCCAGATCAGTCCTAGGAACAGATGACCTAGGACCTAAGCCACTCAGCAGCGAAGTACCTTCTGATTTTCCAACTCCAGCAGATCCATTAGCAATTCCTGACCTATAGCAGGTTAAATATTTATTAATAAAAAAATCAATAATAGGATACATCAAAACTTTAAAGAACAAATATAAGGAAAGGTTAGATTCACAGAGTGCTCCAAATACAAGATTTGAAGAAAAGGCACTCAAGAAGACGCTAATACAATTTCCCCACAGCCACCATTATGGTCATCTGATATGGAAACTGCATCCCTCTATAGTCTGAGGAGAAGGCTCCAATAAGATTTCTTTCTAAATATGTCAGAACTCAGAATGTCAGACCAAATCATGATTAAAGTACTATCACAATTTTCCTATTCCCTACAACCACCATTATAATCATCTATTAAGGAAAAAGTATCCATCTATAGTGTGAGGTGAAGGAAAACAAGACTTCATTCTTTATTTGCCAGAAAATCACACGCTTGGATCTTTAAGCAATAGGTTAGGTCAGATCATGATTAAATCATTCTATCTCTCAAACATTAAGTGCAAGATAGACTAAAGGCAGACATTACGTGCTTGTACCATCATATACTTCTCCTGCAAATATTCTCAAGTATAAAAACACCTTAAGGGCATTTGTTAGATGTCCTAAGCACTAAAGGCAAAAGCAATTTCCCTTGATTTGAAAGCTCCATACTTTCATTCAGGTGATTTTAGATCTCAATAAGGATGGCATGCCAAATAAGGACAATACAGCAAAGGATTATAAAAGGTTAGTAAAGCAAAATTATGGAACTGTAGAGAGGGTTACCATAAACATATTTCCGCTCTAAAGCTACTGTTAGAAGAGTGATTTAGGGTTTAGGATATCATAAGAAGTGTCACTTTGACATTAAATAGAATCAAGTATAGTCATGGTGTACTAAACCAGAACACGTATTTGACTAGATAATTACTCATCTCTTATAAAAAAAAACTAGATGATTACTCATCAATGAAAAAGGTATGTGGTCAAGGGTTCAAATCTCACAACTCAAAAAATAAATAATAAAGCAAATACCTAAAATCCATTTGATAACTAGCCACTCTGATTTAACTGACAAAGTTCCAAACCAGTCCAATCCAGTTCGGGTGTCACTGAATTACACTGGTGATTCTTATGATAGATATAACCTTCCAATGATAATAGAATTACTAATACTGTGGTTGTCCTCCTAGAACCATGTGCATTCCCTTTAAAAGATGTTATTAAGCAACCATGCAAACAATCACCGCGGCACATGCACAATAGTAGTACTTTCAGCAAGCATACCTGAACTCATGGGAATCATTGTTTAACCTTGATCGGGAAACAGAAACAGCCCTTTGCTGTATTCCCTGTTTAGGTTCCCGGTACCCTTCAATTGGTTTAGACGATACGGTACTTGGAGATACATCAGGTTTTATACCAGACCGCTTTTTCTTCATCTTTGCCTTTTCCCACCCATCAACACTGCCAGATAAAGTTCTATCTTCACCCTGAACTGCAGCAGTATTTGAAGCCCTGAGCATTTCCCTATCCCTATCTGCATTACCAGACTGCCTGACTAGAGCATTATTCTGCATATCCATCTAGATTCATTAGAACAAATATTAAATCTTCTCTACAAGAGATAGTGAAGCAAAAACGGCACAAACCAACCAAGATGAGATTAAAAATATAAAGACTATGCATAACAGTAAGAAATTGAAATATAAAACCAAATTCATATCAAAGCATGTGTAAAACAGAATATTATGTAGGCTCTTGTAACGATAAATGGTTTCCTATCAGTCACATAAGTACTAACTCAGCAAGTGAAGTACATGAGAATATTTTTGAAAAGGAGTAAAGAGAACAAACCACCAATGACCATCTAGTTGGACTTGGAGAAAGAAAGTGAGGTTTGATTCAGTGACAAATGGAAAAGAAGAGATCAACTAGTATAGAAAAAATGAAGGCAAAGCTAGAGAGAAAAAAATAAAATAAGCAATGATGACAATATTTACACTGGGACTTCGCACTCTTTGATTGCAATCATACTTGAATACGGCACATAAAACAGCCAATGCACAAGCTTACTAAATAAGTTGCATCCAGCACAATAGAATATAACATCATCATGACAGAAAATGCATAGAGATGGAAGATAAAAAGATACAAACCCTAGCATCCAGCAGAGAAGTTCGAGTACGTTTATTAGGAAAAGCACTTTTAGGCCTTTCTTCCGACTTCTGCTGCTCAAATTCGATACCTCCAGCAATGGAATGATTATGTATTCCCATCTTACCAACGCTTGGCCCCAAGACTGACCGATCACTCGATAACAAAGCATTGGAGCGGTCACTGGTTAAGCTTTCTGATCGAGATCTTTTCTTGGATGGTATGGTTGGGAAAAACTTGTTGAAGACTGATAAGGCTTCGTTGAAAGTTTTCATGCGCTCCCTGTTAGCCAATTTCATTAATAAATAATGACAGCTTCAATCCAAAAAAACAAAGTTTACAAAGAACTACCTCGCTTTGACAGAGCAATCACGTAGACCAGCTTTAACTCGTTTGATTTCCTCAGGTATGGGAGAAGGCAGCAGCTTGCCTTTTGACAACAGAGTTGGAGATTCATCAGGTGAAATGCCAAGAGCAATATTGATGCGCCGCTTAAAGTCTCCTTGGCAACTAGACTTATGTTCAGCAGCAACCACCTTGGGATCAAAACGCAAGCACTGTAAGAAGTAGGACACGTCTCCATGGACTACTACAGAAGTGCTCCTTGACATACTTGGCAAAGAAGATTGGATTTGATTCTCCATAGCCTCACGAAAGCTACTTGATCTGTCTAATTGAGCAGCTAATTGGGCTCCACGCTGCCCACTAGAATACAGTGGCCTATCTGGGCTATCAGAAGAGAGATCAAACTTGCTAGACGTTGCCATTGCATCAGGTTTTGGAAATCCACAATCTTACAAGGCCAATAAAGTAAGTAGTGCATGACAAAAATGTTGTGCAACGGCACATAAAGGCTGAATTAGACTCTTAAGGATAAAAAACAACCTATCTGCAAAGGAGAAAAAAACTAAGGATGAGCATATAAATTTTGTATTAGATTCCGAATCCACTGAATGCCACCTCAAAATTCAAGTTTTTGCGTGCATAATGCACATGTAAAAGTACAACTAGAGACAATAGGTTAAAGTTCAGTCATGAAGTAATTCCTAGTAAAGAAATATCAGCGGTCATGGAATTAAAATGGCATTAGTCACCTTCAACAGTCTGTGTGCTAAATCTTTTATTGAAAGTATGTAGCAAAACAACCACACCATTATCATAATCACGAATCACACATATATATGCACACACACATAGAGACAAGAATCTGAGTAGTGCTGGAGAAAATTAAAACCTTATTGTTAACAAATTAGAACTAATGAAATAAATAAGGAATAAAGGATAAACGATGTAAAAGTTAGTCTGATGCCCTGATTACACTCAAACCAAAGCACTCTGCCACTGTTTAACTAACTGAACCAGCTGACAATATTCTATATATTAAATCAACAATTTAAATACCTATTTCGCCCAATTAAGACATAAGAGGACCAACATTTATTTAAGTAATGGAACTTACTTTAATTTCAACTGGCAGAGACATCATGTAAATAGCAGTCAGTAAGAGCAGTATTCCCATTTTAATTATTTCCTAATCAATATTGCAGTTATGTTTCTCCCTTTCTTCACTACGACGGGGATACATATAATTGCGTTCAACTTCACTTTCCTTACTTCAGTTAAATCCAATCTCAAATTGAATCACAAGGCAACAAGAGAGAGAGAGAGAGAGAGAGAGAGAGAGAGTAAGTATTGCTTCATTGTTCGACTAATCAACAAAACCTAGCTTCATCAAATGAAAATACTCTATTTTGCACAGTAAAAGCCAGTCTAAACTAAAAAAAACTATAACTCCTCGATTTGACATCTGAATCATACTTCATTCATCGAACTTCCACAATTGAAAAACAATTTTGCAGAAAAAACCCTAAATAAAACTAAATCACAATGAACATTGTAAAAATTAGCAGAAATTAAAAAATTCAATCAAACAAAATTTCAAAAAAATAAACAATTAATAAATTTCAAAAAGAAAAACCTAGAGCTTGCAATCAAAGAATGTGAGTAAGAAAATCTACCTCCAAATGAATCACGGGAAGATTCGATTGCGAACGGCTGTAGTTTTCTTCTTTTTTCCGCAAATAATTAGAAAATCTTTTAAATTACGAATATGCGATCTTACCTAATATAATTTTTTTTATCGGAGAAGGTCGGAATCGAAGGTTGAAAGTTCGTACATGGCCATGGAGGTCGAAACAGCGCCCACCTGTGTTTTTTGATTGGCAATGAAAAATTTGGGTTGAATCAAATGACGATTATGCCCATGGTTCGTTGTGCTTGGATGGGGAGATGTCGCGTCTATCGAATAGGGTCTTTTTGTAATAGAAGTATTTGAAGCCGGCTCCCGAGAGACGGCTTGCAGTTTATGTAATCTGCTACTATAGATTATAGAATCTATGATAGAATCTATGATTTAAACAAAAATCTTATTTTTCTTGAGTTGACTTTAGGCAGTAATGTCAATTACTTAATTTAGATAAAGAACATCAAATGAAAAATGCTTAGTACAAAAAATAAATGATTAAATTTTGTCTCGAACGAATAATATTTTAGAGTATAAAGAAATTTTCGTTAAAATTAAGTGTTTAATATTTTTTATCGGAGATTTTTAGGTGTCTGAACCTTAATGACCGTTAAGTGACACATGTCATATTCTAGTAATTTAAAAAATAAAAAAATAGAGAAAAAAAACAACCCAGCAGCCCCGCATCCCTCTTTCTCTTTTCCGCTGCCTCTTCCTCTTTTCCCTTTTCATGGTCACCGACCGACCATCCGTAACCTTCATCGTCACTTTCATCAGCATCAACATCAATCTCCGATCAAACCCTATTGACATTTTGTTGTAATATGTCACCGTTTTCCATATAGAAACGTTCAAAGGTTCGTTGGATTTAAACAATCGGCATTATTTTTCGTTGATTCCGACCGATCCTGTCATCCATAAGTCACACCACCACCACCATTCAAACCATCGTGTAATTCCGATCAAAATCCAAGTGTTCGGCGACGATAGTGGCCGGAAATAACCGACGACAATTAGTAATTGGTTGAAATGATATATTTTAGTTTTTTAAAATTTTTTTATAATTTCATTAAAATTTTGGGTTTTTATAAATAAATTAAGTTTTTTTAATAATATTTTTATTATATATATATATATATATATATATATATATATATATATATATATATATAACGGTAGTCACCTAAAAGTATAACTGAAAAAACATTAGACACTTATTTTTAACAAAAAATCTTTAGACACCAAAATATTTTTCGTTGTATTATTTAGGCACTCATTCTTGTATTAAGCTAATAAAAATGTAAATCTATGTATTGTTTTTATAAAATTAGGTATGAGAATGGTGGGTTAAATTAGATTTTTGGTATATTTGAACTTAAATTGAATATAATATATTTTGATTTATCATCTTATTAAAATTGAAAGAAGTTTAATTCGATTTTTTGTGTGTGATAAAAACATATATCAATGTGATTTTATCATTGAAAAACACTCGATCTAAACCTGGACCTAATTTAAAAAATAATTCTACAAAATCAAGTTCGATTAAAACGCATCAATTTTAAATCAATTATTTATCTCTATATAAAACATACATGTCTTCCATTTTATACTATCTTATTTGAACCGATATAGTATTAACCGGAATGTGCATATTCTTTATTATATTTGAATATATTTGACACACTTTTTTAAGATAAAATACATCAAAAAATAATTAAAAATGTTAAAGTAAATATTTTGATTAATAGCCTTTTAAATATTATATATATTTGTGTTAGACCAAGACAGATATAAGTTTTTATCTTAAAAGTTAGATTGATTTTTGAGTCGACAAAACTTCACTGAAGTTGAGTTAAATTAAGTGATAAGTCGAGGAATAGAACACTATGATAGAATTCGAGTTGATCAAGAACTCTACCCAATCCATACCTATCTCTACCTGCAACTCTAAACTCTAAATAACACTTCTAAAACTAAAAATAAGCATACTTGTACAGAATTCAGCTTATGCATACTACATACCATATCGTTTTTATTAGGGTGAATTACATAAATATAAGAAATTTTTTGTTTTCAACACTAAAGTTTCAAAAATAACGAAACATGCACTAATATTATTATTTTATAATAAATTAATTACTCGATTGTTACTAGCGTTATCCCAATAACAAGAGACTGATGTATGATGTTAAACTGATTTGTTTGACACCGTTTAACCACACATGAAGCTTCAATCATTTTCAGAGATCTTTATCATCTACCGTTGACAATATAAGGAGTATAGGGCAGCTAAATGTTGCTCACAGTGATTTTATCGATGTGATTTTGGTCACCATGTACCAGCTTTCCAGGCTCCACACTTTAGTTATTCGTTCGACTATTTCACCAGAGAACCACCTAGTTACACGGCAATATTGAGTGTATTATTTGAGACCGTTTTCTTATAGACCTTTGAATTATCTATATCGTATATGATACCAGAAATTTATCTCGTCAAGACAATCTCCATTATTCTTTTGTAATAGTGATACTGTTGCATTAAGGCATTTTTTTTTACATTTAATTGTGGGTCTTATGTAGAAATAATCGTTACCCAAGTTGACAAGACCTATGGTCTGGTCGTCAATTTGAGCTACGCCTCTAATAGTTTTGATTAAACTTTTCATGTTGTCAACGATATACAACTAAGATCTTTGCAAATGTTGAAGTTTTTTCTGTTGGTTAAACGGTTCCAATTAAGTTAGTCTAATGTGTCACATTTGTCTTTTGTTATCTGGATAACGTCGGTTAACGGTCGAGGAACTAAATTATTATAAAACGATGATATTAGTGACTATTCCATTCTTTTTAAAACTTTAATACTGTAAACAGGAACTTACTCTTAATTAATTGACTATTTATATATTGTACCCTTTTTTATTACGGTAATATTACACCGCGATGACAAGCACGTGAAGGGGGCCACTTTGAGAGTGGCGCCAAAATGCTGTTTTCTTCCTTTCTTTTTTACACTCGAGAAACTTTACCATCTTATACATGCGTGACCAAACCTCCAGCTCTCTCCCACAGATTTTTTTTAAATAAAGCAAAAGAGTTGGTAGAATTTCAGAAAAGCATTTTCGCCGTTGTTTAAAGCATTTACTTCCTCTTGTTCGATACGATCAAATCCTCAGTGTAATCGATGCTGTTGATTCGACGTTTTAGTGTGTCCTTATAAATTCCTCGTTTCTTTTTACGCGGGGGAATTTTTTTCTTAATTAGGGTTTAGATTATAGTTAAGGTTGTGAATTTTCCTTTTTCCTCTTTTTAAACTTATTTGAAGTTGAATTGATGGAACCTTGTGTCGGCAATAAGTTCCGGCTTGGTCGTAAGATCGGTAGCGGCTCTTTCGGAGAGATATATTTGGGTTCGTGACGTTCTTTGCATTTTTCCCATTTTATTTTTTGTTCTCTTTTATTTGTATATTTGAGGGGAATCTGGTGCTTTTCCCCCTCCCTTTGCAGGTACGAACATTCAGACAAATGAAGAGGTTGCCATTAAGCTTGTAAGTAGTATTGGATTGCTTGTCAATTGTAACTGTTGTTGGTTGCTTTAACATTCGAAAAAGAATAGTAATGTAGTTGCCGTTCTGATTAGGGTTTAACCTGATCTTGTGTCTGTTAAATTTCGTTGTGAATGCAATCGCTTATACCAAAGCTATATAGTTGAGTTGTAGGATGGTGTTATACAAGGAATTGTAGAAATCTTTTATTCGTTACTTAGTTGTGTTCTAGTCAATGTGCATGCAAAGCAGAAACTGTCTTCCGATTTCTTTGAGAGCGTTCGGAGGAAGCATGGAAATTGCGCTGATGTTTGCAGCCACTTGCATTATGCTCAATGTTTTTACAAACTCCCTTGGGGGGAAATGGAAAACATAATATTAGTTAGGATTTAAAATGGGGATCATCATATCTCATTAAGAGGATCAAATTGTTCCCAAGTTAATATTTCCATCATAATGGACAAGGACAGCATACTCTGGGTGGTATTCTCCTGAGATGAATAAGGTTGAACGGGGTGACTTTCTTTATAGTGTTGATTACCAATTTACCATTGAATGCACATTAGTCTCATTATTTTTTTCTATACTTGATCCTAATTCATTTAATGTTAATCAATCAACGATGCTTATAAATCTTGGTCAGTAGGCAATTTCATCTCGGGTGACATTAAGAAATTGATTTTCTGCTAGAATTATTGTTTGATTCAATTAATTGTACTTCAAACTTCAAAGTTTTGATGTTTTGTAAAAAAATTGCTTGCTTATATTTAGTATTGGTAGCTGTTTACTTTTATGTTGTGGTTGCTTTAACCTTAATAAATTCTTTTGGTACCTAGGAATTCACTGACCTTTTCTTTAATAATCAGGAAAATGTGAAGACAAAGCATCCTCAGTTGTTATATGAATCAAAGTTATACAGGATCCTGCAGGGAGGAAGTAATGATTTTTTTTTGTCTTTCTGAAACGTAAAGTTGTTGTTTCAAACTGTGGATGTTTCTAAATTTCATGTTCATTATTATTTTTTATTTTGTTTCTTTTGACTGCAATTGTTAAATTTCCCTTCTCAATCATTTTATTGGCAGCTGGGATTCCAAATTTGAGATGGTTTGGAGTTGAGGGAGACTATAATGTTCTGGTTATCGATTTGCTTGGACCCAGTCTTGAAGATTTATTCAACTTCTGCAGTCGGAAACTCTCATTAAAGTCAGTTCTCATGCTTGCAGATCAAATGGTAGTTTTGTAAAAACTTATACATTTGCAACTGTAGTTCCTCTTCCATTAATGTCTTGTCACCTCATGCTCTTTTTTATTTTTCTCCCCAGATCAACCGTGTTGAATTTTTTCATTCAAAAGCATTCCTACATCGAGATATTAAGCCGGATAATTTTCTTATGGGCTTGGGGAGGCATGCGAATCAGGTTTCTGTTTCTGTTCAAAATACCATTATGTTATGCATGTTTTTTCTGTTACATATAATATTTAAAGAGATTTGTTGTTACTGTTTTTCTTTCTTTCATATAGGTCTATATCATTGACTATGGTCTGGCTAAGAAATATAGAGACAATTCAACCCATCAACACATTCCATACAGGTGAAAGAACTTTGCTTGCATGTAATTTATTGTATATAGTTTAGAAGGCCTTATTTATTTTGATATCACCCCTATTTTTCTTCTCTTAAATCCTAGTGATTTATTTTGGACATAACAAATTACTTGTAGTGGTGGTAATGATGATGCAAAAACTCAACACTGGCATGTCTATTTTCAGTTTTCTTTTTGCTGATTTATTCTGTTGATTGTTTTCGATGTGCCAAGCCATTTTTTTATATTCTACCTGGTCATGGCTGTTTCAGGGAAAATAAGAATCTGACTGGTACTGCAAGATATGCAAGCATGAATACACACTTGGGTATCGGTATGTATGGTCAATCTTATTTATGGTGTATTTTCTTTGATGTATAGACCATTCTTTAAATCTTCTTAGTTTTGATTCTTGGCACTCCTATGCCATCTAGAGCAAAGCCGCAGGGATGATTTAGAGTCACTAGGATTTGTGCTTATGTATTTCCTAAGAGGAAGGTGATTCTTGCCATCTTTACTACATTCTTTCCTTTTTGTCTTGCATTCATTTCCTTGATAGTTTCCAATTCTGATGCCACTTCTCTTTACAGCCTTCCTTGGCAAGGCCTGAAAGCTGGAAATAAGAAACAGAAATATGAGAAAATTAGTGAGAAGAAGGTTTCTACCTCAATTGAGGTAACGAGGTCTTGAACCTTGCAGTAGCGATAGGTTTCTATAAAGGGAATTTGAGGTAATAGAAAGATGTAGATTTATGGTTTTGACGTCCTGATTCTTGTGTGAAATTGTGATTGTTGCAGGTCTTATGTCGAGGTTATCCTACAGAATTCGCATCATATTTCCATTATTGTCGTTCACTAAGATTTGATGATAAGCCAGATTATGCTTATCTCAAAAGAATATTCCGTGACCTCTTTATCCGTGAAGGTTTGAATTTACCTTTTCTTTGGCAGTACATTCTGTCAGTTTGTCTTAATCCAGATCGACATCTCATCCATTCTGTATTCTTTTTTATCCTTGCTAAAACAGGCTTCCAGTTCGATTATGTCTTTGATTGGACCATTTTGAAGTACCAGCAATCACAATTGATCACTCCTCCAGCTCGAGCCCTTGTGAGTGCGAGTAGGGTGTTTTACTTCTTTTAGTAATCGTTGTGGAATTCATCTTCTGTAATGCTTGTCTTCATTAGGGCCTTGGTGCTGGAACAAGTTCTCCCATGACCCCTGTTATTGCCAATGTTGACAGACTCACAGGTAATTGGTGCACCTTTCATATGATTGAAATCTGTCATAAATAGCTCTAGTCTTTACTATCTATGTTTTGAATTTTTGGGTACTCAAGAGTGTGTTTACGCACGCATGCAAGGTTTGCATTACATGGAATGCTATTCCTTCTCTGTTTTTTTTAGCTCTCTTTGATATTTAACAAGAAAATGGTAAATGTAATCTCTGATCTGTTTAAAAATCAAGTCACAATTGGAATTGTACCATTTACATCTCTTGCTTTCAGCTGGGGAGGACTTGCGAGCATCTGGTTTGTCATCCATGGATTCCTCTCGGCGGAGGACATCAGGACCCTTGATGAATTCTGGAAATCATGTGAAACAGAAGAGTCCAGTTGCAAATGATCCTGTAAGTACTAAAAGAGTCTGACAATCTTTTTTATTTTATGGTTGTGCGCATGTATATACCTGCTTGATGGATATTAGCAAGCCTCGTATGGAAGATGGATGTGCTTCAGATACTGTATAATTCTATTAGCAATGCATATTTGGTAGTTTGAACTGTGCCTATGAAGTAGCCTATTACCATTTTATATTTTCATTCTGAAGTGCTAACTAACTCGGATTTTACTCAGATCAAGTTTCTGGGGCAGTCAGGTGGATCTTCTACGAGGCGAGTTGCTGTTTCTAGCAGTCGTGATGCTTTTGCTGGTAGTGAGGTCAACCCACCTCGTTCTCATGCAGCCTATGCTAGCCCTGGAGCATTGCAAAAAGGCTCAAGTCGACAGAGAAGTCCTGTTGAACCTGTTTACCCTAAGCGGACAATGTCTGCTAGAAATACCTCTCATGTCAAGAACTATGAAGCAGTCCTCAAGGGAATTGAGGGCCTGCACTTTGAAAGTGATGAGAGAATTCATTATTAAATGCTCAGCTATACAAATTGTTGTAAACCGTGAAATGGTTGATGTATTAATACATTTTCCAACAGAGTATTGGAGAGGTCGAGTTTTCAAGGGATTTGTAACTCGGAGCTCCCGATTTGGAACCGGGTGCAGCGCACACCCAAAGCATAAATTTCTGATCCACTGATGATGAAAATGTTGTGAAGTTAAAATTTGAGTGCTTCGAATTCGAAGTTGTTGGCTGTCGAAAGTTTTAAAAGTGTTGTATGGTATGATTGTTTTCTTACAAACAGTTTTTAACTCCCTGTTTTTGTGGTGTTGCTTTCCTCTCAAGATATAATGACCTTCTGGTTGCTTCTTTCAGATATGAAACTAGATGGCATTGTAAATTGTTTACTGTACTCGTTTCATTTGTTATGATTATACATGCATGCATGCATTGCATACATATTAATGGAATCTAGAAATGCAGGACATGATCAAGATTTTATTCTTCGCTATCGTTGAAGGTTGTGCAGTAAGCTTCACCAAAAATTGTCTAGGAGCCAAAGCCATTGTCTGTGAGTGAGCCGCTTGCAGCTAAAGTTCCCCTTCACCAGTATTTTCCCATCTCCCTGCAGCACCTTTCTTTCCAGCCCCTTGTCTAACCATTTTCTCTCTTCTCCGACAAAAAAAAACACCCTCTCGTACTGTGGCCGGTCAACGACAATAACTGCTGTTTTCCTTTATCTTTGTTTTGTGAGGTCGGGGGGGGGGGGGGTTAGAACTCCCTCGAGTATTCTTTTGATTCATGGTCCTGTTCCCTTGCCTTAGATGGTTCATCAAGGTGAGTATGGCATCTTTTGTTGGAATAAATGCACCGGTTAAGAGACTCCGATTTGATGGTAGATGCCCATTTTCCAGGTTTGATTCCTTAGATGCTCACGTTCGTTGTTCGCCGACTACAACTATCGTCTTGATGGATCCTGTGTAAGCAACTCACTTTGCAGGTCTCTTTCCGTTTATGGTTACTTTGTTTCTTCGCTTGTTTCCGGTGCACTTCTGGGTTACACTCGGGCAAACAATATGATGTGCGACTATATACCCCACTTTTTCCCCCTAATGGAATGAATGTTTTCCATATTCAAAAACAAAACTGTCCGATTTAAATGTTTTATTTTCCACACATGTATTAAAGGTGAGATTCACCAACATAAAACTAGTAGTTTGATCATTTTATGTATTTTCATAACATTTTTCGTGATTAATATTTTAACTAATTTCATTCGAAAAAAGTTGTCCTCCTTTCATTGTCATTAACATTAATCTTATTTCAGCACAAAAAATTACAGTAGTGATTTGACTTAAGTTCGTAATATTAATAATCAAAAAATTAAATTATATAAAATTAAAACATATAAATTAAATCTTAAAATTAAATATAGTAAAACATGGAAAACCTTGCATGTGTTCTTATGCGGTATATTTCATGTATTATAATTATATTAAAATAAATTTTAACTTGTTAATAACTTTATACATATTCTAAAACAATATCAAGTAATAAATATTCATACACCCGAGTTAATAGTCATACAAATTAGTCAATTCAAATCCGGAAAGAAACAAGAGAAAACAACACTAACATGTTCTAATTGAAGGGGTCATCTATGTCATCTTCTATACAATGAGCACAATTTCACCTTGGGAACCTGCAAAAACAAATGAAAGATGCAAAATTCATAAGAATGGAAGAATGATGCCTAATAAAAATAAGTAAGACCATATTATTACACAGATACAGGTATGAGTATCGAATATGTATCACATGAACTTGATCTTTTCTTACGTATTTAAAGGGTGCTTGAAGAGCCGTATCTTCATACTCATTTCCAGATATGGATGGAACACGCGTAAGAAACGAGTACTTAGAAATAAAATGAAGAGTTGGAGAGATTATTACATGTTTCAAAAATCTCTTTGGCCAATTGTAGCAGTGAATCTGTATCTTCAGCCATTTTCGAGACTCTTTCTGCTTCTTTAACTGCTTCAGCTGCAAGAAACGACTTATTTTCTGCTTCAGCAATGAGATAGGCAGCAGTTACTGAAGCTTCTTCAACTGCATCACAAATTATACGACCGGTGTCTTGCAACTGCTTGGGCTGCTTGCCTTTCTGTTTTGGGATAGGTGATTTTGTCCCGAAAGTTTCATATTTTCTTATCTTGTACCGATTGTGCACCTGCATTATTTCAATAGATAAAGCAAAATTGATGCCATATTTCAGATATACTATAAGTTTAACCTAATAGAACGAACTGCAAACACGATTTACTTCCTTCAACAAATTCATGGCTCAACCAAAAGTTTCTTTAGCAGCATTTACACAACTTTGATAATTTCTTCAAAGAATGAAAATTGGTTGAATTAACTGTTGCTGAAATAAAGATATTTTGGTTCGACTCCCATGACCGGTTGTTCTTAAGTTCCTTGAAGTGGGGAAATTTTGAACAATAAGCATATCATAACCTTTGTAGATATCCCTATGTTCCTTTCTGTTTATCCTGAGGGGCTATAACAAGACAACAAAGAAATTCAAGGAAAGCTTAAGCACTTCTACTTTGTTGAATGAATCATCTATCTACCGAAGCAGTTTCTAGTAATGAAAAATCACATAGCAGAAGAAGTGGATAAGTATCTTTATAGCTTTAAAAAAATATCCGCAATTCGACTCTAGTTATATTTTCCATCTATTCGAAAGAATACAAATGAAAACATATCAAAGGTCATTCGGGCTCTTCCCCACATCTTGTATCAACAGCTCATATTTGACCTTTACATTGAAGTGCCATGACTACACCAAGAAACTCAAAAGTCAGCTCCATAATTTCCTCCTTTAGAACAACTATTTTATCAGTAGTAATTTAAATAACTTGAAATTGAGTATTCAAAAGAAAGAAAGAAGGTTTTTCCTTTTTGACCAAGCAAAAACTAGTACATGACAATTGATAAAAAGGATAGAACCATTTATGATTTACCTTTTCTAGTTTTTCTAAAGCAACCAGCCTTTTCAACCTTGAACATAACTGCTTCTTAAAACTTTGAGGTACCTCTTGCCTTTGCTGCGTAATATATTAAGGAAAAATCATACTCGTGATTTGATAATGTAAGCTCATCAACAATGGGAAACCAAGTTACAATGCATGGATAGAGAGACCTCAAAAATTTCAAGCATAAGTAATTTTGATTGCAACATCCAAGTATTCAAGGTTAACCATCATTTGGTATTATATTAACGAAATAATGAACTCGTGATTTTGATTATGTAATCTCATGACCAATGAGAAACCAAGTTACAATGCCAAAAGAGAGACCTAAAGTCGTCAAGCATAAGCAATTTCCCAAACTACATCTCAATTAACCATCATTTGTATTTCTATGCGTCTTAAAAAATATCATAAAAGGCAAGGAGCTTAATGGACGCTGTTGTTAGCCTGAGAAAATTTCAGATTCGAAGTGCCTTAGGCAGCAAAGCCTATCAAGAATTGCACAACATTAGGCACATGTAACACACATACCTTCAAACCAACATGTATGGTTTCTCAAGTTCAGTCTTATCATTAATGATGAGATGCATGGTTTATTCAAAACAGAGTTCAACTTCGATGATGATTAGAGACAAAAAAAGGTAACAGCACATTAATTCTTCCATTTTCACAAGTATTTTAGACTTCAGACATAAATGAAAATATTGAAAGGTGTTCCTTTTCCTAATGGAACAGTTCCAAGTAAAAAAAAATATTCACCACCAAAAAAGAAAACAGAATCTGACCTCAATGTAGCCGACTATTGCTCTGTTATCTGATCCATTTGGCTCTTTCAACGCTGATACAGCTTCGATAATCAATTCATTGTACCGGCTACAATCAAACATCACAATACATTACATGCTTATCACAAAGAGATTAGCAATAAACCATCAAAAACACCTTTAAAAGAAACTGCAGACTGGACCCCATTTATTTTTGTATAAGGAAAAAAGAAAGCCTTCCTCGTTGATAAATTACGCTAAATGACTAAATCCCATGAACACTAAAAGTTCTCAAAAATATAGCATCAACTAATTATTTGTTCCCAAACATTGTAAACATTACTAATTATTTAGATGAGAAAGAGAGAAAAGTTGCATACTTAGGACTAGGAGCAAAGCTTCTTGAAGAATCATCAATGAGTGGTTTAGGCAATGCAGTTTGCTTAACAACAACAGAGCTCTGCGGACCGGCGGAGTTCGGCTTGGGCTTGGACGTCCTTGATTTTTCCCGAGAACCATGACCTCCAGGTCCACCACTCAAATTCCGCCACTTGTCCTAAATATCCAAACAGGTTAAAAAATCGATGAAAGAAAATTTAAAATAAAAATTCAAAAGGAAACTTGACGGGGGAAACCTTGAGATCAATGTTGGAGCGAGCAAAGAGGAAAGGGCTTAACTCGGGGTCTCTTTGTATTAGTTTCCAATTCCCTTTGCCGTATTTGGCTACCCCCGCTCTCAACGCTTCTTCTTCCTCTGCCGTCCACTTCTGCTTTGGATTCCCCATCTCTCTGTCTCAACGATGCGTTACACGATGTTTTCCTTCCGGCAGCCGCTGCTACTGCCGCCAGCAACCGCCACTCTGCTGCAGCAAAAGTTTTAATTTTTAAAAATTTTCTATACCGACGGTGACGCTTCAGGCTTTGAAATAGTTTGAATGCTCGAGTAATGTGGCGGTTTACAGAAACGATATTTGCTGTACGTTTCTTGTATGTTATACGACGCCGTATTTTATTTAAGGCTTCTGAGAAAAATTGACCTTTTTTTGCAGCGTCCACCAATTGCACTTATCCAACTGAGTAGCAGATGGCCAGATGGGCAACTACTTTTATCAAATAATATAAGGGTAAAGTATACAAACTGTCCTCTTACTTTTATCAACTATATGATAATGTTTTATTGAGTCACCTAATTATTAAAAATTATAAAATAATCTTTTAACTATATGACGTTATTTTATTGAGTCTTCTAACTATTAAAAGTTACAAAATGGTCAATCAACTATTCATACGTTCTAAACTCATCTTTTCCCATTAAAAAAATGTAACCGTATGAGTTAGATATTAACTTGTTGTTTGAAATATGATATTTTAAGCACTAGTTCGACAGTATAATATAAATGAAGAATCAATCAATAAAATACAACTTAAACGATTCTATAATCAGACTTTATTACATCTTAATCAACATGTTATTGTCCAGCTCAAACGACCGCAAATATTTTAACGAATAAAACGAATTTAGAACATATAAATAATTAAATAATCATTTTATAACTTTTAATAGTCAAATAACTCAACAAAACAATATTTTATAATTAAAAGTCATTTTGTAACTTTTAATAATAAAAAGATTTAATAAATTAATATCCTATAATCGAAACTATTTACGTAAATTTAGGGATGGGCAAGGGTCGGGTTTCGACCAACCCGACCCGACCTGAAAAAATATATACCCTCCATCCGACCTAAACCCGACTCAATTTTTTGAGATAAAATCTAAACCTATCCGACCCGACCCGAAATAATAAAAAATATTAATCTTATTCGATAAAAACAATGATTTAATTGAAAAAAATAATATATAGAGGGGGTATTATTGTAATTATTCCTAAATATATAAAATAAAATTATATTTTTCCCATATAGGAACAGGTCGAGTATTTTTCACCCTAAACCCGAATCCGACTCGACCCAAACATCACCTTTAAAAAACTCGACCTGACCCCGATTTTTTTTTTAAAAAACCCGATCGGGTCAAGTCGGGTTAAAACCGACATGTTTGGATCTCATGCCCATCCATATGTACATTACCCATAATATAATTATATTGAATGCTTAATTATTGTTCATATTCCTGAAAAGTTTAGAATTCTTGTTAATATTTCTGAGAAGTTTAGTAACAGACACCATATCAGCCTTCTATCTTCTTTCTCACTAAACATCGAGTTCTTCCAATTATTAAAACAATTCTTCATTTAAATTTAAAAAAATTAAACTATCATCAACGTTTACAATTCTTTAGTTAACATCTCCCACGATTTATTCTTTAAATCGGAAAGAATAAACTATCATTGACATTTACAATTATTATATAGTTGTTATACTTTATCTTCTCCAATTAGTCATATAGTTAAATTATAATAATTTTTTAATAGTCTAAAATGATTATAAAATAATATTTATTCATAATTTCATTTAATGATTGATAATATACATACTCTATAAATATAATTATTTAAACTCGAAACTTTTAAAAAAAACAACACTCCTTGCTCAAACTTGAGACTTGAGATTTTTACACTCCTTAACGGGTGAGGTTGTTTGATGAGTTCAAATTACAATAACAAAACAAACTTTAATATTAAATAAAGAATCTAATTACTTATTTAATTACATCCTAATGGGAAACAGTTGCATGAAAAAGAGGATATAAGAACCATGATTTCTTTTTCTCGTTTAATCAAGTAAATCAACATCCAGTTTGTTCCACCAGCTCACTTGGGAATCCACTCCAGCTACATGCTTTCCAGGTCACAAGATCCTCTAATTCAACATAAATGTTCGGATCATTCATCGCCAGTTCCTCATTTGTTGCAGTATCTGTCCGGTTGTCAATGCTGATGTGGTTGTTGTTCTCAATACAGTCAGGCAAGAACCCTGAGAGCTCATCAGCTTGAATCGATTCCAACGGAGGGTAATCCTCGGATACTCGAGCCTCGAGCAATCTCTTCCTCTTGCTAAACTCTCCACCCTCGAGCTCTCTCTTTTGCTGTTTCCTCTCGCTAACCAACTGCCAAATGAAGTCTGGATGTCTAGCCATTTTAGCTAAGAAGTTGCACATCTGTTGTTGCTTACGTTCGGTGAAACGAATCCGTTCTTCGACGATGTTAAGCTGATGATCTGACTCTTCTTGATGTTGTCTCAGTTCTGATACTTCCATTTGCAACGAACATTGATCTTTCTTTAAAACCTCGACCTCGGATTCCAATCCGATACCATCGGTTGAATTATTAGTACAAATGAGTCCTTGTCGTTGCTTATTAGTATATCTACTTCTCCTCTTAATATTCTTCAACAAGTCCTTCTTCCCCCCTCGAAACTCTTTATTTGCGAACTCCCATCGATCCGAATCAATCTTCCTAAATCCCTGAAAGAAAAAACCCAAAAATATGTTGAATTTAAACTTGTTCAATTATGGTTTTAGATCCTTCACTATGCTAAATTTTAGGGTTTAAAGTAAACCCTAAACTACTTAACTATGTTTAAATGATATTTTTATCATTAAACTTTCAAAAATTACGAAATACTCATTAAATTTATCGATTTTATGATAAAGTAATTATAATTACACTACAAAATAATCATTAAAAATATCACACTATTATAAAATAATCATTAAATTTATCAAATAACATCATGATAACCATAGTTTAAACTTATAACAAGCATTAGCTTTTAAAAATATCATAAAACTTAAATGTTCAAGGTTTACTTTTATATCATTTGTTCTTATCATAAAATAGAAGCTAACTATCAAATTATATTGAATTAAATAATTAAATCTAAATTTTCCGTATAATAGAGGGGCTAGATCCAGAATTAGACCAACTGAAACTGTAGAAAGTAGCGACTAAACCCATAATTAGACAAATTAAAACTGTAGAAAGTAGGGACTGAATCCATAATTAGACTTACATAAGTGTTGAGTTGGCGAATGAAGCTGGAGAAATTCTTGTGCTTGAAATATTTAGGCAGCAGAATCTCAGAGAACCTGTAAGAATCCCAAACGACGAAGCTGTTACGGTTCAAACTCCAGGAAACGATCGGGTCGGTATCCGGATCCTCCACCATCTCGAACGTTTTCCTCAGAAACGGCGCCGGGCCGGACTCATGTAACCCTTCCACCGGCTTCGGCGAACCATCCGATGAGTTCAAAGACGACGACGGCGATGACCCTTTGTTCCCGTCTTCAACGAATCCCGTTTCTTCATCGTCTTCTTCTTTTTTAACCGCTTTCAACAAGTCCAGCAGCTGATCATCTTCTTCTCCGCAGCTTTCATCACCCGCCACCGGCTCTTCCTTGACTACTACCGGATTGTCTTCAATCTCTGTGTAGCTCAAACCAAAGCTTTCTGATTCATTTCCTCCACCGCCATTGTCTTGCACATAAACCACCATTTTCTTTGTTTCTTTAAAGTGTTCAAAGTGAGAACGGCAACGATGAAGGGATTTATATAGGAAAGGGAAGATTTGGAATTGAAAGTAACGGTGTTTATCAGCTTTATATATATCTTTTCAAAGGTTATCGCCACGTTTGTTTGCTTTTTCTTCATTTTTGCCATTTGTAGAGATGCTTTTTATTTTTTCCACCGAATATAAAATCTAATCCCCTGTATTTTCATTTATTAACAAATCAGCCCCTCTTTTACCCATTAGGATGTCGCCGCGTCTGGTGTATGACAAAAGCAATGTCGCTGTCTTTCTTGTGATCAGGATAGAAAAAGGGGGGAAGTATGTATCAATTGTTTCATATAATTATTATTTAATTAATTGTTTGATTAATTTAAATTAAATGCTTTTAGAAACTATTTATGATGGTATTATAAATTATCAATATTGTCTGATTTTTAAATATCGAGTATAAAATAAAGTAATTTTTTCCTTTAATCTTGGTTAGAAGGTTTTATAATGTTTCTTGTTGTTATTGTCAAGTTTAAAGTCATAATTGTTATACATAGACGTTCAGTCTATGAGTTATAAAGGTTTTACGTAGCTCACTCCTTTTAATTTTAAAGAAGAGTCACAAACAACGATTCATTATAGTGAATAATGTATTAAAAATATCAAGTTGAAAATGGGATAGAAGATGGATTCCCCCCTCAAACTTAACTGATAGATTTTATAGTAACTTTTATTATCATAAATTATATTTAAAATTACAGTTCTTATTCGTATACTAACAAGTTGAATAAATATAAGTATTTGATAATAAATTTGATTTTTGCAGGTCACATAAATTTATTATTAATCTTATTAAGAATGCCAATCGGTTGTTTAGAATTTTTGAAGTGGCCTCGAGTTTGAGCCTAAACCTATATAAAACAAAAGTATATGGGATAAATGTAGCCGAAGAACGGATTTCAGCCTGGGCAGGAGTGATCGGTTGTGGTTGGGATAAGCGTCCCACAACTAATCTTGGTTTGTCGCTGGGTCAGACGAGGAACTCTCCCGAGCTTTGGAAGCCTATAATAGTCAAACTCCTAAGTCGTCTTGATAGCTGGAAAGGTGTCCTTCATTTGTTTGGAGGAAGGCAAACACTGGTAAAGTCGGTACTCTCAAACTTGCTGGTTTACTACCTATCTTTGTTCCAAATTCCAGCCGGAGTTGCGTCTAAGTTGGCAAGTATCATCTCAAAATTCCAGTGGGGACCGAACTGTGATCGATCCATTCATTGGGTCAAGTGGGAGATTGTGTGTAAACCTCGGAATCAGGGGGGTTGGGACTAGTTGATATCCGCCTCAAAAATGGGTCTCTCCTTAACAAATGGGTTTGGAGATTTGGTTCTGAGCCTAACCGTTTGTGGAGGAGGATTGATGTAGCTAAGTATGACTACGAATCTGGTTCTTTGATTCCTCCTTGCCGGGATCCGAAAAAGTTGTCCTGGGTTTGGAGAAGCGTCATAAAGCCAGTAAGCAACCGGGAAGATTCCTTTTCAAAGGGTTTGAGGCTTGTGCTAGGTGATGGTTCGAAGATTGATTTTTGGAACGATCGTTGGACTCGTTTCTCTTCATTGAAAGAAGCTTTCCCAAGAATTTTCGGGTTAGCCACAAAAAAGATGGGGAAGGTGTCGGAGTTTGGTGCTAAGATTGAAGGAAAATGGTCGTGGAATATCGAGACTAGGAGATTGCTGTTCACTTGGGAGTTCAACTTGTGGGATGAATTTATCCGTACTCTAAATGAAGCAGCGCAAGGATGTGTGGAGGAGGATAGGGTTAGGTGGGATGGGTCTCAAAGTGGTTTGTATTCATCGAGCTCTTTTTGTGCTAGTTCTATGTTTATTGAGGAAGAGCGTGATAGTTTTTGGAAGCTGGTATGGGCGAACCTTGCTCCACCGAAAGTGGAGTTTCTTGTTTGGAGAGCAGTGATCCAAAGATTACCCGTTCGTGTGGAGTTAGAGAAACGGGGCTGTTTATATTCGGATTCTAACGTTTGTGTATTATGCTTAAAAGAGCCAGAAACGGTGAACCATTTGTTTTGTAGGTGCGAGGTGGCTTAGAAGGAGTGGTCGAGATGGTGTGCCATATAGAACCTCCAGCTAGTTTGTCCGGGCGATGTTCGGTCTTTCATCTCTTCCTGGGAGGGAGTTCCAACTTACAAATCCAGTACACCTCTTTGGCAGCTTGTTATGTTTGGTATCTTTTGGTCTATTTGGATCCAAAGGAATGAAATTATTTTTAGCAACAGCAGTTTGTCTGAGGAGAAGTTGTTTGAATTGGTTGTTTTGAGAATTGGTTGCTAGTGTAGGTGGAAATGGCCTGAATCTTACTTGTCAACCTCTGACTTCTGTGGGAAAACCAATGTGACGGTTTCTTTTTGGAGGTAATGGTTCCAGCGTTTATGATTCAATGGAGCTGCCTTTGTGTGGGTTGTGCATGTTGTGTTCCTTGTTGCAATGCTTTTGTTTTCTTCTTCGGGTCTTATTTCTTGTCGAGTTCTGGATGCGGGTGTTTCTTCCAGGGTGGGGTAAGTGCTTCGGATATGGGTGTCGGATGTTTATGGTGTTTGTTGCGGGTATAAAGATTTTGAGAGCGGTGTCAGTTGTCTGTCAAATGCTGCTATTAGGGCCTGTGTGGGAGGAGAATCCCATTCTGCTTCTCTGGCCCAGTGGTTCTTTTGCTCGTGTGCGGTTGACAATGGGAAGGTGTTGTGTGTGTGTGGTTTTTTTGCTGGTTTTAAGTGTGTTTTTAGAGGGGTGTGCAGCAGTTTACTGTAAGGTTGGCGTATAGGGAGGTTACTTTGATAGTATTGACTTGTGTTGGAACCTCCTGTGTGCTTTGAGCATTCCATGCGGCTATTGTAACCATATTGGCTAGCCAAGCCACTGAATATGGTGTGTTGGGTGCTGCAGCCCTGTTATCGTGTCTTTGGTTAATAATTGTGTGTGGAGCGTAGGAGTTTTGTGAGGGAAGCTTGATTTGCTGTTGGTGTTGTAAGTCGAGTGTATCCAATATTCGAATTGGGTGGGGCATTTTTTTCTTTTATTTAAGATTAGGAAGATTTTTAAAGAGACGATCTGATATTCGATTTGTGTATGAGTTTTTTGTATTAATTAAAAAAAGAGTTTTATTAATAGAAAATGATGGGTCATAATACGAGACTTTGAAGTCTTAGAAAATGAAATTTTGAAATTATAGAACATGGGATTCTAGATTTGTAATTGGTAAAAGGACATTAGTTGAAAGTTTTCTCCTACTCAATATACTTGAATTTTTAATAAAATTATTTGCAGAATAGATACAAAAGAATAATAATACTTGTTTATTTTTTATATATATAACGTTAAATTTGAAAGTAAAGGTATCAATTGAAAATGTTTAACTGTTTACTTAAAAAAAAGTTCATGATTACACTTCTAATTTTAAATCTTACTTGAAACATCTAATACTCCTTTGTATCATCTCCAGACTCTTCACCTTGCAATAGCGTTTCGTGGCCGTTGGATATACTGACGTGGAAATCCCAGATGAATACGATCGTGCGGTCCTTACAAAATTATGTTATTCCCTTCTGCATGATAGCCACGTGTTGGGCTTCTCGTCCGTTAAAGTGTCCAATTTCTTTTTGAAAGAATCGAAGAAAATAATTAATTTCGTCATCGCTTCCTATCCAAGAAAACTATCGTGCACTCTATGTTCTGGTGAAATCTATCCAATAACGCCGCGCCACGTTACCAGGAACGCAGAGAAAGGTATGAGCTTTATTGTTTTGGGCCAATAATAAAAGCTTTGACCTGTAATCATATTCGAATATATCATGTACAGCAGTTTTAATATATGATTAAAAAAATATTATCGAAAATATTTTTTAATAATATTATTATTTTTAATACTTTTAATAAAATATTAATTAAAATATTATTTTATCGTAAATGTTAATATTAAACTGTTAACATTATTCACCATAATCCATTTCATATTGGGAAAACGGGAGCCGTACAGGTAGCACCGGTGACATAATGGCAGTTGGGCCAATGAATAACGTGGCATAACCTACTCCTCTACTTTTAGTCTAAGGAAAATAAATAAATTAAGACAGTATTTGTTTATACATTATTAACTTAACTTTTTTTAAGAAAAAAACTTAATCACGTGGCAAAAAAATTATACCTTATCTTCTAATTTGATGATATACAATGTTAATACAAATATAAAAATTAAAATTAATTTTTAAAATTAATTTTAATTGCCCTCTCAATTTTAAGATCTCTCAATAGGATTTTTTTTATATAAAAAATTCAAACTTAAAACTTTACTATAACGATAATTAAATTCCTTATCATTTAAATCAATCTAGGCTAATTATTCTAAAATTTATTCTGATATCTTTTTAAAATAACTTAAACTCTCTTTATTCTAAAAGGGTTTATCCTCTAATCTTAATTCTCATTCTCATTGTTACCCGTCTCTTGAAAATTACAATTTAATATATATTTTAAAATTTTGTATATTTTGTATTGATAATTTTTTTTTATAATTTTAGAAATTTTATTCTATTAAAATTTTAAAAATTCATTTATAATATACAATTGTGTATCTGTCTCATATTACTACAGTGAGCTAACCTTTGTCTACAAATGACGAAGATGGGATTAATTGCTTTGAGAAGGACGAATGAGAAAAAGTACAACAAAAAATGTTGAAGAGAGTATAACAATGTTGAAATTTGGATTTTGACTTCAATGAACAATGAATCATGGAAGCAGAAGGGCACAATTATGAAACGGAGAAGTAGAGGAGCTTGCCGATTTCGGTATTAAAATAAAAGGACGACGCATGATGTGATGAAATAGAGTGTTAAGGGATTTTTCAACAACTGTTTGGAAACTTACAGACGAACGAAAAAGATAACGCTAATGTACTTAACGAATTAGTGAATGGAGTTGTGATTGTCGAGATTACTTATAACTTTATCAG